ATCTTATCAAGAGGCAGGGGGAGTACCTGAAAATCTGGTCCAGACAGACAACCTAGGAGGCTCTGATGCCAGAAGATGGGGGTGGGTGGGTGGCGGCCTAGAAGAAATCTCTGCTAAGTGGGTTTTCTAGTGGCCACCTGGCTCCACATCTTGAGGAGAACCCTGGGGAACTGCTGGAGCCCAAACCTTGCTAGCCGTGCAAACAGCCAGCTCTTCCTGATGACCAGGAGCGTGTTCGCCTCAGGCAACCTCCGATCCCACTAGCACAAGGATGGATCCACCCACCTCCTAGGCTCAGGGTCCTCATCTGCAAAATGATGGAGGTGATGGGACCCATCTCTGGTTCCTCTACCACCGAAGTTCTGTGATTCTGGGTTCAGACAAGGAAGTGAAGGCCAAGCTTCTAGAACAGTCCAGGCACTCTTGGTATAGCTGAGAACAGCACAGTGTGAATTACAAAAAAGCCTGGATTATGGCATAATTGCAAAATAGTGAATGTTTCCTTCATTCAAGCATACAACGAATGGCAAATTAATTGTTAATCAAGTATCTATGAGAAGAGGTCCTATGAGTCCTGCTTTATACATAATTAATTTTCAATTGCCAATATTTTCATTGTTTTTTTGTTTGTTTTTGTTTGTTTGTTTGGCTGAGCCTTGCCATTTGTGGGATCTTAGTTCCCTGACCAGGGATTGAACCCCGGCTCTCGGCAATGAGAGCTCGGGGTCCTAACCACTGGACCACCAGGGAGTTCCCCAGGATTTTCTTTTATGCATGAGAACTGAACTGGTATGGTTCTTTAAGAGCTAGTTTTCTTTAGAGGACTCGCCACTCCTCCCTACAAACTGCCGGCCATGGCACATCAAGTCCAAGTGCAACTGCGAATTCCCAAGAGTGAGATCTGGCCATACGGGATTCCGTGCGGCCTCGCCCTGAGGACTTGGCTCACTCCCTTCCTTCCCGGGAACCTTGATCTGGGCATCCCTCCTTATCTGCAGAACCACGTCTTGGCAGCAACTGGGCTTACGTGTAAAGATGAGTGAGTCTGTGCAAACCAAGCAAAGTACAAGAACTATTCTTCATTCTCAAACAAGACACAAGTCAGGGGCACATGGACTGACTCGGTCTGAACCCCAAAGCTCAGAACAACACGGATGAGGCTGCACGGGGAGAGGCTGCAGCTGTTACAACTTGGAGCCATGGGTCACCTGACCTCGAATCAAACCCAGTCAACAAGCATTTATTGAACACCTGCTAGAAGTGCTGAGTATGGTCAAGACTTTGCTCTCAAAGGCTGATCCATCTCCACGGGGTGGACAACAGAGGGGCTGCTGTTCCCATGCAGCTGACAAGGGGAAGAAATCCCAAGGAATTCAGGGACTTGCTTTAGGGTCAGGATGTCTATGGCAAAGCGGGGGCTGGACTTCAGGCCTCCTGCTTCTCAAGGTCGCACAACTCCCCACCACGTGCACAAGTGCCAAGAGACAGCATGCTTTACTAATGTGAATTTTGAAAATGTTTTTATTAGCCAGTTTATTCCTTATTTAAAATGCACAATCTGATGTTTTGACATCTGTACACATCCATGATATTATCCCCACAGGGAAGATAGTGAACATTTCCATCATTCCAAAATTACTCCCAAGCAACCACTGATCTGTTTTCTGTCGCTATAGATTAGTTTGCATTTCCTACAATTTTACATAAGTGAAATAATATAGGATATACTTTTTTGTCTGGCTTCTTTCATTCAGCAGAATTACTTTGAGATTCATGCATACTGTAGCATGTGTCAACAGTCATATCTTTTTATTGCTGCATAGTATTCGACTGTATGGATATACCACAGTTGTTTATCCATTTACCTAGGGATGCACTTTGATACTGTGTCCAGTTTGGGGCCATTACAAATAAACCTGCTATGCACATTTGTGTACAAGCCTTTGTATGGACATACGGACATAGGCTTTAATTTCTTTGGGTAAATACCTAGGAGGGAATGCTGGATCGTATGGTAGATGTATGTTTAACTTTGGAAGAGACTGGCAAACTGTCTTTGAAAGTAGCTGTACCATTTGCATTCCTAACAGCCGTGTACCAGCAAGAGTTTCTCCACATCCCCGTCAATACTTGATGTAGTTGGTCTTTTTAATTTTAGGCATTCTAAGAGGTAGGTAGAGGTATCTCATTGTGGTTTTAATTTGCATTTCCCTAATTACTAATAATTTAAGCATCTTTTCATGTGCTCACTTACCATCACATGCCTTCTTTGGGGAAGTGTTTATTCAAATCTTCTGCCCATTTAAAAACTGGAGTCGTTTGTTTTCTTATTATTCAGTTTTGAGAGTTCTTTATACATTATACTTCTAGATACAAGTCTTTCTCAGAGATATGATTTGCAAATACTTTGTGCCAGTCCATGGCTTGTCTCTTCATTTTCATAACAGTGCCTTACAAATAGCAGAAATTCTTAATTTTGTCCAAGTATTGTCCAATTATTATAAATTTGTCCAATTTATCAACATTTTCTTGTATGGATTGTGCTTTGTTGTTTTGTGCAACTCAAGCTCACAAATATTTATCTCTTATGTTCTATTCTAGAAGTTTAATTTAGTTTCATTTAGGCTTATCATCCATTTTGAGTTTTTTTATATATGATGTGAAGTATGGATAAAAGTTCTTCTTCTTCTTCTTCTTCTGCTTTTTTGTAGTTGCACCAGAACATTTGTTAGAAATACTATCCTGTCACCATTCAATTGCTTTGGTCAAAAATCAGTTGTTTATATCTAAATCCGTTTTGATTACTGTAGCTTTATAATAATTTTGACATCAGGTAATATGAGTCCTCCAACTTCATCTTTCTCAAAGTTGTTTTGGTAATTCTAGCTTTTTTGCATTTCCACATAAACTGTAGAATCAGTTTGTCAATTTCTATGCCCCCCCCAAGACGTCCTGCTGGGATTTTGATTGGAATTGTGTTGAATCTATAGATTAACTTGGGGAGGATTAAGCCAACCTTGCATTCCTAAAATAAATCCCACCTGGACAGGATATATTATTGTCCTTATAACACTTTATTATATTCTATTTAAAGTTGGTTAATAATTTTCCTATCTATGCTTATGAGGGTGTTGGTCTGTAGTTTTCTGTCTCTAGTTTGGTTTTGGTATCAGAGTAATGATAGTTTCTAAAGTGATTTAAGAAGTATTCCTTCCTCTTAATTTTCTGGAAGAGTTTGTGTCACATTGGTATGATTTCTTCCTTAAATGTTTGGTAGAATTCACCAGTAAGTCCATCTGGGCCTGGAGTTTCCTTTGTGGGGAGGTTTTTAACCATGAGTTCAATTTCTTTAGTTGACGGAGGACTATACAGGTTATCTATTTCTTATTGTGTGGCCTTTGGCACTTAGTATCTTTTGAGGAGCTTGTCTATTTCATCTAAGTTGCCAAATTATTGGCATAAAACTGTTCATAATATTCCCTTCTTATCCCATCACCTTGCTGTATTCTATTGGGTAGAAGCGAGTCACGTTTATCCAGGCTCAGACTATACGTTCACTCCTACCAATGACAAATGCACCAGACCATCTTCTATGCTACTCCAGAGGCAGCTAATGTGTTTGGATGACCCTGGGCTCACTCGGCCAATATTGTGGTGGGTGTCTCCTTTATTGTTTTGCTCTTGCACCACCAACTGGGTCCAGCACCATGAGACCTGGGCTTCCACTTCAGGACAGGCTTATCTGTGGCTCATGGGAAAGGCTGGTGGAGAAGACCTCTAGATGGGGTATGTGATCTAGGAGGGAGGAATCATCATGCTGGGGGAGAATCCTGGTGAGCTCCTGGAATTCCTGTATGAAACACCCAGGCTGGATGAGCCACAGGACCTGCTGGGGCCACATCTTGAACCTCCTGAAGATTCAGTCACTGCCACAGGGCATTGGACACATTCTTGTAAAGAGAATGAGGCCTGCGGGGGGTTGCGTTCTGGGATGAGTGTGCTGGGGGGCTCGGCTAACAGATAGGTTATAACAGTAATCATAAAAATAACCCCTGACATTTGTAAAATGCTTCTTAACTTACCCAGCGTTTCCACCTGGTTTATATGAGGCAAGAATGATGAGCCTTAACTCAGGGATGCAGAAACTGAAGCTAAACAAGATTAACTTACTTGACAAAGGACCAGAATAGGCAAAAATGTTGGGGCCCCAAAAAAGATCTTAAGATGGTTTTAAACGATTTCTGTAAATTTTTTGACATGCCTCTGTTCAAAAGTTGCAGTCTGATTCCACCCACCCTCAGTGTGGGCTGGAATTAGTGACTAGTTTCTAAAGAACAGAATGTGGCAGAACTGATGCTATCTATGTGATGTTCAAAGCCAGGGGTGTGAGTGTATGTACCATTTTGTTTCTCTCTCTCCTTCCCCCACACGCAGGAATCCAGCTACCAAGGTATGAGGAAGCCCAGATCATGCGTCAGTTTCAGCCAGCATCAACCATCAGAAATGCGAGTGAACAACTCCTGCAATTTGTACACGCTGACCAGGATTAGCCCTGCAACCTACAGCTACAGAGAGAGAGGAAGCCACCCCAGGAAGGCGATGGGATCCAGAGCCTTGGTTTCTAGTTCTTCGATTCTCTGACACTTTGATCAGGATTCAGCCTCCATATCAAATGCTGAACTTGAAAATTTTTACTTTAAAAAAGTGTGTGCAGCCACCATTTGAGTTTTGATGCTGATGTAGAATTGGAGAATCTATTCTTGCCAATCAATACTCACGTTACCTGCCCGTCCTCCTAGGTCATTCCTCCCAGGGTTAGCGTTGGAAGCTAACTGCTTCTTAACTAAATCAGGGACCCAACTGGAAGACCAAAGTCTTCCATTTGCCCCTGGGGGCACGGAAATCTCACAGCAGTCACCCTCCCTCGAGGCCTGGGGCAGGGAGACCCTTCCTCAGAGAAGGAAGCCTTAAATGTGCCACCTGGGGGATGTGTGGAGCCACTAAAAGGAAGTCTCCCTGGGAGGCAGAGACGGTATGTGAGGCCCAGCATCTGTGATTTCTTCTTTCTTCTCCAGAAACTCCACTCTGTTTCTCTGGGCAAAAATCCGCTTTATCTCCACACATGTTCGGCCCTTGGTCTCAGGAATGACCACGTAGATGTAAACAGCAGTGAGGAGGCAGATTCCGGCAAAGATAATGAAGCTGTAGGCACCACTGACCTCCTAGGCCAAGAGACAAGAAAACAGGAGGGGACGGAGGAAGAAAGGAATGCCGGGGACAGCTCTGGGTGAGGGCTCTGTGAGTCACACAGGAGTTTCTCAGTGGCCAGTTCTACTTTACACCCAGAGGAGTGGAAGAGCTGGACAACTGGGTCCTGCCCTCACATCAGAAAGGACTCGGCCTTTTAACAACAGGGACAGAATGTCCTCTAGACTTGACCGCACACCTTCAGAAACAGAGGAAGGAGGTGGACGTGGGGGAATCGTTCCCTCACCCTGGCTCTAGCTTGCTTTGCACTTGGCCGACCAGAGCCCCTACATAATGAACGCGTCACCGCCTGAATGTGGGACCTGCCTTCAGTGGTGGGAAACTGGCGTACTTACAGTTTGGTTGAAGTGGCGCCCTGTGTGTTTTATGGACCTTGGAGAGTCGCCCCCCCTTGTCGAATTCGCAGATGTTCTTAGCAGACGAGGCACCCCTGCCTATTTCCCGGAGCCCCTTCTGCCTGGGGCGGGGCGGGGGAGGCAGGGGGTGCAGGAATTGGGGGCAAGGGGCCGCCCCCCCCCCCCCCGCGCCGTGCTCCCCACCGCATGTCCCCACTCACCTGGATGGACGGGAACACGAAGCCCACGATGACGCTGGTGAGCCCGAGCACGGCCCCGTCCACTGCGAAGGCGGCCGCGAGGGCTGCAGGAAGATCTCGGTCCTCACCACGGAGGGCACGGGACCTGGGGGCAGAGAGCGCAGGACCAGGGGAGCGGAGAGGGGCGTGGAGGGCCCTTTAGGGGCACAGTCTGTTCCGGATGGCCGAGGGAGGAAGTTCACATCTCTCCTCCTGGGTGCGCCCATAGCTGAGCTTCGAGCTGAGCCTCTGAGGGCCTCAAGGTCACACCAAGGCCGCTCTTCCCCGTGGTGGTGTCATTTTGAAATTCGCAGACAAGGGGAGGGGGAGCAGAGCTGAATGAGCGCTTGAGCGTGGGACGTGCTGCCCCCTGTGGTAGATCTGGGGAATGGCAGGCACCTTGCCTTGGGGCAGTTTCTCAACCTTTTTTCATTCAGGAGTCTTGTCTAAAATGTCTAAGGCCATTTTTCCCCCTTAATCACCATCCCTCATGAAATTATAATACAACAGATATACTTTATATCCGTTTATATACAGTAGGTCTATCTATGACTTTATATATTCATTATATATTAACATATTATCTATATTCTTTATTACAAAAATAAGATTCTCTCTCCCCCCAGTTAATTTCCGACCCTTGAAGATGGAGAGGAATTCAGAGCCCCGGAATGAGCTGCCCTTGGGAAGTCAAATGGGAAACTCCTACAACTGGCGAGGAGGGGGCCCCTTCCTCAGGGCTTTGTGCCCTAAAGGGGTAGCAGTGAGGGAAGTTATCGACGCTGCCCTCCCTGGCCTCCTGCCTCCTGCCCCCTGGGGCCAGGCAGCCAAGCAGCTCTTTAGGAGGTAGCTCACATGTCAAATCAGTCCACCATCTGATCCCACATCTGCCGGCACAGCTGATTACTCCTGGTCTTCCAGGAGGAGCCCGAGGCCCAGAGAAGCACAGTGGCTTCCTTTGGGAAACGCACAGGCAGTAAGGGGTGGAATGGCCCAGAACCCAGGTCTCCTGACACAAACACCAGCACTGCTCCCACCAGGCCCTCCTGCCTCCATATTGGAGGTGTGCCGGGAAGGCTTCCTGTCGAAAATCCCACTTAAATATCCTTCAACACGACGGTGTCGGTCTGATTCACAGCTGCATCCCCAGTGCCTGGCGCAGCAGGTGTTCCATCAGCGTGTGTTCAATGGATCAATACCTTTATTTTGGCTTATGGACAGCTCTTTCAAAACCAAGATTCTGCAGGGAATATTCTAGTCTTAGGAGTCAGAGGGGTCTTTCCGCAAGCAGTGGGGACTGCGTTAGATTCTCAGGAGGACACACAGGGGTGGGGAAGCCTGGAGTCTGGACGCTACCCCCAAGGAAGGTGGAAGTGAAGGCCCAAGGCTGCCAGCACATGGACACGGGGATAAAGCAACACAGGACTGTAGCTGTAGGCCAGGGGACCAAAGACAACTGAGCCCCGGGTGGGCTGTGGGCTTGGAGGCTAACGTGAGCATGTAGAGGGTTTGGATGTAAACTGAGGGGCCCCCAGTAGGGTCTGGCTGGCAAGAGCTCCCTCTTTGCAGAGGCTCATCCCCTTCTTGGGCACTGGAACTGAAGCTGGGCAACTCTGGGAGCCACAGGAGATTGGGGGGCCCCAGCCTGGCCGTGGCACTGGTTGGAACTTAGTAAATGTTTGTTGAATGAATGAATGAATGAATGTGAGCTGGAATGGCCTTTCAAGAAAAAGGTAAACTGAACTGAGAATTCCAGTGTGGGTGGGGCTTGTGTAGGAACAGGGGAAAAGGTGGAGAGAACATCATGAGAAATACCAGTCAAGGGCATCCATTCATTCAACAAGTACCGGGCACCTCCTGTGTGCTGGGCCCTGGAAGGAGGTGGGGCATGCAGGTACTCACTGGGCCCGATGGAATGTCCTGTGATGTAGGATGATGCCAAGGTAAGACAGCTCAGGGACCGTGCTCTGTGGGGAGAGGCAGGGCTGTCCGTGCCTGAGAGGCCCAGGCCTGGGACCTCTAAGAGCCTGAGGCCAAGAGCCCCACATGCGGACAAGCCCACATGCGGGCCTCACCTTCCTGCCACAGGAAGGAGCCACACCTGGATTTCTGAGCACCTGCGTGGGCCTCCAGGGCTCTGAGGGCAAGAGAGGGAAGATGAGACCAGGAGTGAACCTAGCATTCTAGTCAACGGGGGCGTCCGGGAGCTGTACCTGATTGAGAGAAACGTAACAGGAGGAATGCCGACCACTTATTTATTTTCTGCCCTTCACAGATGCTAACCCACTGAATCTTCTTGACATCCCTCTGAGGGAGGATAATATTGTTTCAATCCTACAAATGTGGAATCAGAGCACAGAGAGCCTGAACACAGACAAAGAGGACACTGGGTCCCTCAGGGGTCAAGCAATGGCCCAAGTCAAATGATCAGCAGCAGATGGAGCTGGGACCCGGATTCTGCACTCTCTGCTAGAATCCTTCTAGAAGGCATCAGACCAGGAGAGCTGGCAGACCCCTATCTCTGCTCCCCACTACCAGGGCAACAGATGACACATACTCAGGGTGAACAGACCTCAACCAAACTAAGTATGCAGGTAACGATTTCACTACAGTTATGAAAAACGCTGAGAAGGTGGGGTTCGTGCAGGGCTGGCGGTGGAGGTGAACCAAGAACGACTCCTTCAATGAAGTTGTCTCCAAGGGGCAAGGTGAGAGATGAGCTGGGGGAGGGGCAGCCTCCTAGAATGGATGACTTGGGGATGAAGAGCCAGCCTGGCCGCTGAGCAGAGGCGTGACGAGCTCTGATTCGCGCAGGCAGGCAGGGTGGGGTCCATTTCAATATTTGAAGCAAGAGAGGAGTTGGCTGCAGCTGGAAGGGATATCCTGGGTCTGGTGCCACCTGGGTAGCTGCTGGTTACGTTTTCAGGCAGAGCCAACAGGACTGGCCAATGGGTTGGAAGGAGAGAGTGAGTGAGAGAAAAAAAGTTACCGGGGATGCCACCAAGGTCTCCAAAAGGCAACTGGCAACTATCTCTATAGATAATGTCCAGTTTTATTTACTTCTTTTTACCTAAGTCCCTAAATGTTCTAAGAACTTAGATTATTTTCAAATGAGAAAATAAGGTCTTTAAAAAGGAAACTTTGATTAAACCAAAACAGGACTGTAACTAGCTTTTTAAAAAAAATCACTTCCTTTTTTTTTGGTAAAGATTTATTTATTATTTATCATTTATTTATTTTTGACTCCGTCGGGTGTTAGTTGTAGCACACGGGATATTCGTTGTGGTGCACGAACTTCCCTCTATCTGTGGCACGCGGGTTCCGGAGCGTGTGGGCTCTGTAGTTTGCGGCACGCTGGCTCTAGTCGAGGTGTGCGGGCTTAGTAGCCCCACAGCATGTGGGATCTTAGTTCCCTGACCAGGGATCGAACCTGCATCCCCTGAATTGTAAGGCAGATTCTTTACCACTGGACCACCAGGGAAGTCCCTGTAACTAGCATTTTCCTCGATAGCTGCATCATCACCCTTCACCTCGCCTGTTCCTCCACAGGCTCCCCTGCCCTGCTGTTCCCTGAACACAGCCAGCTTTGTCCCCCTGAAGGTCCTTGCACTCACCCAGGAATTAAAAAGGAAGTCATGATGGAGAGGACAGCTTGGCAAAAAAGGTGAAGAATGAAGACATTGTCTCTGAATTACAAGAATAATCTCTTCGCACATTCTCATCCTCACATACGATTGCAGTTTCAACTACAGACGGTACCCTGACTTAAGAAGGTCCAAAATTTTCAAATTTACCATGGTGGGAAAGTGATACACAGTCGCTAGAAACTATACTTCAGGGAGTTTCCTGGTGGCACAGTCGTTAAGAATCTGCCTGTTAACGTAGGGGATGCAGGTTTGATCCCTGATTCAGGAAGATCCCACATGCCACGAATGGCCACAACTACTGAGCCTGCGCGCCTAGAGCCCGTACCTGAGTGTAGCAACGAACACCCAACGCAGCCAAAAACAAATAAATTTATAAAAAAAAGTAAGAAACTGTACTTTGAATTTTGATCTTTTCCCCGGGCTATCAATAGGCAGTACGATCCTCTCTTGTGATGCCAGGCAGCTCCCCGTCAGCCACATGATCATGAAGGTCAGTGACAATCACGCTGTTTTTCACTTTCTGTACAGTATTCAATAATTTACATGAGACATTCAACACTTCATTATAAAATAGGCTTTGTGTTAAATGATTTTGCCCAACTGTAGACGAATGCACGTTTTCTAACCACATTAAAGGTAGGCTGGGCTAAGTGATGATGTTTAGTAGGTTAGGTGTATTAAATGCTTTTTTTTTTTTTTTTTTTTTTTGTGGTACGCAGGCCTCTCACTGTTGTGGCCTCTCCCGTTGCGGAGCACAGGCTCCGGATGCGCAGGCTCAGCGGTCATGGCTCACGGGCCCAGCCGCTCCGCGGCATGTGGGATCCTCCCGGACCGGGGCACAAACCCATGTCCCCTGCACCGGCAGGCGGACTCTCAACCACTGCGCCACCAGGGAAGCCCCTGCGTATAGTTTTAATTGTAAAGGCACAGTTACTGCAAAAGCAACAACAGGGCAGAAACAGCTGAGGATATACAAAATGCTGTCTGCTTTCAGAATATTTCATACTATGGCCATCCTATGTATTTTCAACATTTTTGTATAACACGTATAACAAAAATATGCTAAGAAAATGACAAATTAGAGTGACGTATTTCTTGTTGGGCGGCCTTTTGTGTTTTAATCTCGCTCTGACACTGTTCCCAGTTACTCCATAGCCTCTCATTGCTTCTTTTCCTACTTCTTTCTGATCTGGGCTCCAAGATATTTTTAATGGTAGAGACCGACATGCTTGTTGACACGTGTTAGGATTTCAAGATGAGAGCTCTACCCCATTTTGTACTCGCGGCACACATCAATCAGACCAAGCTCACCTGCCAGCACCTCACCTTCCTTCATGTCCCCCATCCTAACCTTCCGGTTGGCCTGTGAGTGGTGTTCCTACTGCAGTTAAGGTATCTTTCTCTTCGTCTTCCCGCATACGAATGCGTTTGGTCCCTGGTCATCACTTATCCTCACGCTAGTGTAGAGTCTGCCGTCCACGCCGACCTCCGTCCTCAGTTTCTTCTGCTTGTTGAATGGAACGACGTCCGATCTTCCGTCTCTTTATTCTACTCTAGATCATTATTGGTGGACATCTTCTAGTGCAGTGCGCTTAAACATTTGCATATTGAAATATATGTTTTATGGAACTTCTTGTTTCTCCTTTACTTCATGGTTAGGACATTCGATTTAATTATTTATTTGCATGTACATGGGTAGGTAATTGAAGTCACCCACGAACTCTACTTCAGGACGGGGCGTTACATTGCACACGAAGGGGGCGTGGAGTTTGACACGCAGAGTTTGAGATCACTGGCCCTAGCGGTGTGGGTTCTGTTACAGGGACCTCCCACCCCCGCTGTTCATCCTCCCCTGCGTGCTCCGGCCCCCGTCCCACCCCTCTGCGTGCTCCGGCCCCCGTCCCACCCCTCTGCGTGCCCCGCCCTCCGCCCCACCCCTCTGCGTGCCCCCGCCCCGTCCCTTCCGGGCAGAAGAGCGAGGTCCGACCTGGAAGCTCAGCGCCGAGACGCGGATGCCTTAGCCGACCAGCAGGAGGCGCCGCCTACCCAGCCGCTCGACAGCGCCTGCCTGGAGGGGAAGGACGGGCGATGAGGAGCCTCGACGGCACCAGGCGGGGGGCGCCCGGAATTCTTGGGCCTGGGCCACCACTATCTCCTCAGCCCCTCCTTAAGTGCCCGCTCGCCCCTGCTGCCTGCTCCGTGGAACTTAGGCCCTTATCCCGACGGGAACTTGACGTTCGTGCCGCAGACTCTGCACCACTACTCCTCCCTGTCTCAGGCATCTACAGACCCCGGGTCTAGGCTCCTTGACCACCTCTCCCCCGCCAGCCCCCCGCACTGTAATAACTATGTTTTCTAGTTTCTGCGTCTGATGCTTTGACATCTGGGGGCCTTCCTGACGCTGGAGGGACTGCCCCCCACACACCGTTAGCCGGTTTCTAGAGATAGCAGACCGCTCAGCTGTGCGTGCGCCTTTCACATGGAACCCGCCCGGAGCCGCCCCCACCCCACCCCACCCCCTGCTCCATCAGGCTCTCACCTGCCCCCGCCGCCCCCAGCCAGCGTCCCTCTGCCTTATCGCCCAGGGCAGGTACCAGACAACCAGGAACAGCCCGGCATTGGTGCCCGGGAACCGCCTGAAATCTTTCAAACTAGGCAGTCCTAAACCTGCTTACCCTGCCTTGCCTGTTCCTTCCCACGGAAACCATAAGAAAGGCTCTTGCCCACGTACTGCTGTCCGCCCCCCCCTCCCCGCCAGATGCTTCTCCATGTGGCCTTGTGTGCACCTCTCTCCCTTGGGAACCGTGAGCAACGCTCTTTTCAGTGGCAATCATCTCACACCCCCGAGATAATAATAATGCCTACATTTTAACATAACCCCCTCCCATTACCTGCTGCTTCAATTCACGTCGAGGCCGCCCAGAATCTGGCCTCACTTCATGAGGGTCCCTCTCACCCCCAGGTACTTTCTTTTCCACTGTCAGGACACACACCTCCTGATCAGCCGGTACCTTCTCGAATATTCCAAGCTTGGACAATGCTTCGTCCGACCAGCATGCCTGCCTTCCTTCTTGTTCTAATGCCCTTTTCATTCTACTCCATCCTCACCTGTAGCACCCACAGCAGTGCTACCAGCAAGGCATCACTGTCACCCCACGCCAGGCCCTGTACGGTCACTTTACACGTCCCCTCCGTCCTTCCAACAACCCTACAGACGGGGATTATCACTGCCATTCAGTGAGGGCCCAACAGGAGCAAAACGGCAATCCCAGGATTGTATAAACGAGGTAGAGGTAAGCCCAACGTCTCCTTCTGTGCTTAGTACCCAGACACCGCTCCTCAGGGAGAGAGAGGGAGGCGCCCCTGTCTTTCTGGCTTGGCTTTCTCCAGGTAGGATGATGGGGAAGAGGGTCCTAGTTATGACGATGTACCCTAGAGGAGGAGGGCTCTGAGGACAGAGGGTGGACCCTGCCCTAGAGGAAGGCGAGGGGCTACGGGAATCCGCTGGAGGAAGGGGTGCACAGACTCCCGGGAGGGTGGAGAATTGGGCCTGGGGGCCTCCCAGCTCCTCCCATTTCCGGCTCTTTTCCTTCACTCGGCCCTCCCCACCATGCTGAATCCTCTGAAGTTTGATTGGGGCTTAAACTGGCTCTGGGGAAAATACAGATAAGTAATAAATAATTTTTTAAAACACTTTTAAACTCCAAGGTAACTCAAGAAACAGGAACTAAAATAATAGTGAGATAACTCGGAAAAGTTCTAGAGAAAGGACCATCATGGTCACTTGACCTTGTAAATGTCTATTCACATTTTTTTTTTTTATTTTTGGTACACGGGCCTCTCACTGTTGTGGCCTCTCCCATTGCGGAGCACAGGCTCCGGACGCGCAGGCTCAGCGGCCATGGCTCACAGGCCCAGCCGCTCCGCGTGGGATCTTCCCGGACCGGGGCACAAACCCGTGTCCCCTGCATCGGCAGGCGGACTCTCAACCACTGCACCACCAGGGAAGCCCCTGTCTATTCACTTTTTTAACACAGGCATAAGTGGTTCAGATTTTAAATATAAAACTCTGAAATAATAGTTTTATGCCAACAGTAACAACACGTGCATCAGTATACTGGGTATTTCAATCACCGTAACCATTGTACAAAGGAAGAAACTTGAATTTTAAGGTGTTTAAGTGGCCTGGTTAAGGTCACACAGTGGTAAGTGTGGGCACGTCCGAAAGTCTGTGTCACTCCAGTCACCCCAGGAGCAGTGCCACCAGCAGTGGACCCTGGGGGGCTCTTCTCTGTCTGCGGGGCACCGACTCAGAGATGCCCAATGGGAGGGACGCTTGTGGGTGGCTCACCAAGATGAAGCTCATCCCTGTGTTCACCACGCTGGCACCCACTGTTACGGGGAATGAGCCCCTCCATGCCAGCCGAGGGAGGCGTAGATCACGTCCGCGTAGTAGCTGACCTAAAACAAAAGCACAAGGGCTGCGAGGAGAGACCTGAAGGCCCAAGCCGCTGACAGCCTTCCTGACTCAGTCAGGACACACAGTCCTGAAAGCCTAGGGGACCCCTTGGACAGGAAGGAGGCAGTAGGTGGGAGAAAAGAGCCGTGACCTGAAGACTTGAGACCTGGGATGGAGGCTGGCTCTGCCGGAGCCCGGGTTATAGCTCTTCCCCTCTCGGGGCCTTAAGTTCTGCATTTGTAAAATGGGACCCCGAGAATTTTCCCTCTGTCGCTTTGTTAGTCTATGATCTCAGGCCCCACAGAATGACCCCTCGCCTCTCATTCCAGGCCTAGGCAGCCCCAGGCTCAAGCTTCTCTCCTGGCCCAGCCCCAAGGATGTGGGCAATGCAGCACTTCTGAAAGCCACCACGTGCCCTGGCTCCTGCCTGAGCTGTGTACCACTCGATGTCTCCCGCTGAGCAACCGTGAGTCCCCGAGGGCCTGATGCCATCACTTCCTGACACTTTCCTTAAGCACCATATGGGTTACGCATCTAGTCTCCGACATTTCTGGAAGCAGCCTCCCAGCCCTGTTTTTGCAGATCTTCACCCTTCGCCTACACCATCAATAGATACAATTATAGCAAAAGAACTGCGCATACCACGTTGACCCTGCAGAGCTGCTGGCCGGCCATGGGCAAGACGATGGAGACCAGCTGCCAGTGGACAGGTGGACACGTGAAGAGGCTGAGCACAGACAGTGGCCCTCGGCCCTCTCGGCCTGGTCCTCCACGCACATTTCTTCCATCTCGTCCTCCACGTCTGCCCAGCCTCTCAGCTTCCGCAGAGCTGTGGGGAGCAGAGCGGTCCCCTCCTGTCGCTGACAGCAGCTGACCCAAGGCTTAGAGAAACACAGGGGCACAGGTCCCCAGGAGCTCGGCCCAGCCCTGGCCACAGGCTCCCCGTTTTCCCAGGGCAGGATGCTCATTGGACCCCAGCTAGGTCCCCAACACCATGACCGTGTCCCCAGTCACAACCCCACCCCCACCTGGGCAAGCTTGCAGAAGTCAAGGCCCACCAGCCATGATGCTGGCTCTCACCATGTTCTCCACTGGACCAGACCTCAGAGTTGCCCTGGACTCCCCAGTGCCAATGGCACCTCTGTCCCGTCCCACTGGTGCCTGCGTTGTGGAGTGCATTTCCCCACCCTGCCCCCTGCCCGTTCTCTGCTTCGGGCACTAGGGAGGGATGTTTGGCGGGCACGGGGAGGCGGCTGGGAAGTGAACATGGTGGGAGGGTCTTGACAGAGCAGCCTGTATCTCCAGTACCTTGTCGAACTTCTTCATCTCTCTTCTGAATCAGGGTGGACCTGGGGCTCTCGGGGAAGAATGGCAGAGGGGAGCCAAAACAGTGCGGGGACCCCCGTGAGTGCTAAGAGCACCGGCCAGCCTGGAAGGACCCAACACTGGGGAACCCCTGCCCTTCAGCTGACCTTCCGCATGTCCCGGCTCTGTCCTGACTCTCCTCTTACAAACTCACTCACCCACATTGTTCCACCCCTCCGTGAGAGCCAAGGACAGCAGGGACCTAGTCCTTGCCAAGATGTGGCTGCCCAGAACCCACCCACAGCAGGGTTCCACATTTTAAAATGGAGAAAATAATTACAATTTTCAGAAGATCTGCTGTTAACTCATTCTGCAGGAAGAGTATTGCTTTTCTTAGGAACAGCATATGATTTAAAAGTGTGAGCCTTGGAAAACGTGAACCCATGTCTTGTTTCCTAACTTTATGGCTGGAAATGGCATAATCTCTGCCTTGCTGGAGGCTGGGGTCGAGGAGGGTGCTGGAACCAGCACTGTGGCTGTGTGAGCTCCTTCTGGAAGGTCTGGGTTAAGGAGGCAGCACTGAGACTCATCTAAGCCTTACTAGCTATGATGGGAACTGGAAGAGGCATTTTACTTCTCTAAGCCTCGGTTTTCTCATCAGTAAAATAAAGATGATGGTGATGATGATGGTGATAAAGTGCCCCCTGAAGAGTGGTGAGGGGTGACAGGCATCGCACACTAGGCATCACTACAAGGCAGCTGTTGGCAGCAACGGGCCCAGCCTGGCTTCCCCTTCAGCTGCACTGGGGTAGTTTGGGAATCGTTAAAACTAATGACCTTTCACTGAGCACGACTGGGTCCTGAGTCTCTTCAAGGTACTCTGGGGAATACAAAGTCATAAGTCCACCCATTAAGGAATTCCTGTGGAATTTAGGTAACTTGAAAATGTTTACGAGGAAAAAAAAATAAAGAAACCCCACTGTGTTCTTGTGGGCCTTTAATGCTGGCCTGCATTCCAGCCACACTCTCGGGGCCATTCTCTCGCCCACTCCCCCAGAGGGCCATTTCCCCCTTTCTCCTCTGTCCTAAAGCTTCCCTCCTGCTTCCCCAACCCTCCCTCTCAGGCAATGGCCTGGCCACCTTCCACTTGGAGAGTAGAGGCAACCATCCACCCACGTGACAGTGACCGTGGCTGTGCGCCTGCCCCTCCTGCATCATTGCCCTCGCTGCAGGACCATTCGCACAGCGTCCCAGCTGAAAAAACAAAGCGAAACAAAAAACCCTTCTCTCCAGCCTGCTTCCCCTTCCAGCTACCCCCCAACTTCTCTCCTTCCTTTACAGCAAAACTCCCAAGAGTCGTGTGTGCCCCTTGTCTCCGATCTCCTCCCAGCCCCACGCACAATTTGTCCCCATCGCTCACCCAAACTGCTCTCGTCAAGGTCACCCGTCTCCAAACAAGCCACACATTGCCCAACCCAAAGGGCACCTCTTGGCCTCACCTCACTTGATCCGCCAGACACGTGGGCACAGCCGAGCCCCATGTGTCCAGACCCTGCCCCCTCGGCCCCCCCATAGCTCCCACGCTCCCTCTCACCACCACCCCCGGACCTTGGTGAGCCACAGGTACCTGTAGGGTTGCCCAGGATGGCTTGCAGGCCGAAGATCTGTGCTAGGAAGATTCCCACGATGACAAACACCTCCATCATTGTTCCCAGAGCACCCCTAAGGTTCTTGGGAGCTAACTCTCCCAGCTACATGGGAAGGGCACTGTAGGAGGTGCCTGGATCTAGCAAAACAAAAACCAGGGGAGGAGAAAAGAAACAGTCCCAGCCTCCTGGGGCCCCGGAAACCTGAGATTTAATTAATCTCATAGTCCCTGATTTCTCTGTGGCATCAGCACCACTGACAGGCAGCCTGTACGCCCCCCACCTCCCCTCCACGGAGATGGAAATTGGCCACGTGGACTTAGTTCGCACTAAGAAGGAAACCTTTCCAGAATCCTCAGACTCCCAGGGGACACGGCAGGATGTCCTCTCCTTCCTAGCTGCGGAGCTGGGGCCACTTGTTACAGGCGAGACTGTGTTCCTGGGATGTGGGACTGAAAGATAGGTCTTTTGCTTGGGATTATTTTCTGATTTTTCTGAAGCACAGGTTACTTGTATCACTTTTGTTTTTTTTATAGAAGAAACCACCCTAGTTAAGAAACCTTGGTCCCCTGCTGACAGTCCCCAAATTCTGTGCTCTTTTGCTTGAAGCTTCTCACCCTCCGCGTGAACTAGACACCTTCCTTGGAAGATACCTTGTAAAGCCTTATCAGTTTGTACTTCAAGGTAAAAGTGTGTTTTTAAAGATCTTCCCCTGATAGAGTTTGTTAAATAAGGGGAAGGGGAGAGAGAACATGAGGTTTTCGAGAGTCTGGGGATGGAGACAAGAGGATGCCCCCAAAGGGAAAAGAGCCATTCAGAACCAGGAAGACCCTGCTGCCCCTGCTTCCCGCCTTGGCCAGTGTGTCTGACTCAGACCCTTCTCCCCACAGCTGACCCTGAGCATGGGCTTGGGGCTTCAGCCATCACTGTAGGTACCTGCACAGAATCCCAGTGCCACTCGAGAAAAGATGATCAGCTCGGAAGGTTTGGTCACTTTGCTGACTCCCTTCGGGATGGCGGGATGGCAGGGATGGCGAAGTCTTTGTTGATCAGCAGTGTTCCCTTCCTGCAAGGACAGCAGAGCCCAGAGGGCATGGGGGCTGAGGCAGCAGAAGCTCTCCTGACACCAACTCCTATTCTCCAGGGCAGCCGTTACAGGAGTGCCGGAACGTGCCTGAGAAAGGCTGATGGCTGGGAAGCGCGGAAAGCAAGGACCAGTGGGCAGAGGCCCCAGGAAGGGAGGTTTGGGGTCAGCAGGGGTGGCGGGAGGAGCGCGAGCATGCTAACCATTGGAGCTGACTGAAGACAGTGAGGAAGGAGGAAGGAATGGGCCTGCCTCTGCAAGGAGGGAGCTTCCTATCACTGGTGGTATTCAAGCAGAGAGTAGGCCGGATGAAGACTGTCAAGAATGGTGAACAGGGGAACCCCACAACAGGTGGAAGACAGAGCTGGATTAGATGATCGCTAAGATTCCTCCCAAGGCTGAAAAACCATGAGTCTACGAAGTGGGGGGAGGGAGTGTCTGAAGAATAGAACACGCTGGATGCCCCTGCCTGTCTCCCAGGATCCATAGCTACATTCCAGACTGTGTTCTGTGCCCCATGCTGACTGGCATCGGTGGCTCCCTTGCCCCCCTCATCCCCACATGTGGCTTGGATTTTGCCAAAGGAGAAAACAGCAGTGGATCAGGAAGGAAGATGGTGGCCCAGCTATAGGGTGGCTGCTGGCTGCACCACCCTTGGTGATCTCTCCACACGCTGCCCACGTTCGAGGACCATCAGGGCCCTGAGTGACACAGGTGCATCATCTCTGAGGCCAGGAGTGGAGGAGGGGGATCTCTAAACAGAAACCCAGACACCCCTCCTGGGGGGACAGTCGTAAGAGTTCTACAAAAGTCCCCTTCTAGGCAACACTGAGGACTCATCAGATACACAGACTGGTTTTCTCAGGCCACTTTTCTCTTCCTGGGGTGGCCATACCTCTGAGAGAACTGCCATCCAAGCCCAAACTCAGAGCAGAGGATCAGCCAGCCCAGAGGCTGCAGGTCAGGAGAGAACAAACAGCCCACACGAACCCCTTCCTGGTGACCAGGAAGCCTTAGCTTAGCTCAGGGCTGGTCCTGGCCCCACTAGGGCAAGGCCAGCTCCACCGCACCAGCTGGTCTCAGGGTCCTCATCTGCAAAATGAGGGCAATGATGAAACCATCTCTGAGGTCCCAAGTTCTGTAACTCTGGGTTCAGACAAGGAGGTGGGGGCCAAGCTGCTAGAACAGTTCAGGCACTCTTGGTGTAGCTGAGAACAGCACAGTGTGAATTACAAAAAAGCCTGGATTATGGCATAATTGCAAAATAGTGAATGTTTCCTTCATTCAAGTATACAACGAATAGCAAATTAATTGTTAATCAAGTATCTATGAGAAGAGGTCCTATGAGTCCTGCTTTATACATAATTAATTTTCAATTGCCAATATTTTCATTGTTTTTTTGTTTGTTTTTGTTTGTTTGTTTGGCTGAGCCTTGCCATTTGTGGGATCTTAGTTCCCTGACCAGGGATTGAACCCTGGCTCTCGGCAATGAGAGCTCGGGGTCCTAACCACTGGACCACCAGGGAGTTCCCCAGGATTTTCCTTTATGCATGAATACTGAACTGGTATGGTTCTTTAAGAGCTAGTTTTCTTTAGAGGACTTGCCACTCCTCCCTACAAACTGCCGGCCATGGCACATCAAGTCCAAGTGCAACTGCGAATTCCCAAGAGTGAGATCTGGCCATATGGGATTCCGTGCGGCCTCGCCCTGAGGACTTGGCTCACTCCCTTCCTTCCCGGGAACCTTGATCTGGGCATCCCTCCTTATCTGCAGAACCACGTCTTGGCAGCAACTGGGCTTACGTGTAAAGATGAGTGAGTCTGTGCAAACCAAGCAAAGTACAAGAACTATTCTTCATTCTCAAACAAGACACAAGTCAGGGGCACATGGACTGACTCGGTCTGAACCCCAAAGCTCAGAACAACACGGATGAGGCTGCACGGGGAGAGGCTGCAGCTGTTACAACTTGGAGCCATGGGTCACCTGACCTCGAATCAAACCCAGTCAACAAGCATTTATTGAACACCTGCTAGAAGTGCTGAGTATGGTCAAGACCTTGCTCTCAAAGGCTGATCCATCTCCACGGGGTGGACAACAGAGGGGCTGCTGTTCCCATGCAGCTGACAAGGGGAAGAAATCCCAAGGAATTCAAGGACTTGCTTTAGGGTCAGGATGTCTATGGCAAAGTGGGGGCTGGACTTCAGGCCTCCTGCTTCTCAAGGTCGCACAACTCCCCACCACGTGCACAAGTGCCAAGAGACAACATGCTTTACTAATATGAATTTTGAGTGACAACAGCACCCTTCTTCTTTACCTGCCTCATTTGTCAACCAGCAGGCCAATAAGCAGGGACCCCACCAAGACGCCCAGAGGAGACATGGACATGGTGCAGGACCACAGCAGCAGCATGACTTTCTTGTCCATGAAGGCTCCGTGTCGCTCAAAGTAGGTTTCATTATAAAAGGACTTCAAGACCTGGAAGACATTGCCCCATCCATAGACAATCAGGTAACTCATGAGAGACCAAGAAGTAATGTTCTCAGTTGCCCCTGGTCATTGTCCTGAAGGATGTGTCTATCAATACGCTCAGGACACAATTGATTCTCTGTTGTTACCTGGAGATAAAAAAAAAAAAAAGCCTACAGTATGATGGGGTGAGATGAGGAACCAGGCTGCTCAAAATGTTAAAAATTCACTGTTGGGAATTCCCTGATGGTCCAGCAGTTAGGACTCCAAGTTTCTACGCCAGGGGGTGCAGGTTTGATCCCTGGTTGGGGAACTAAGAACCCACATGCTGAGCGACATGGCAACAACAAAAAAATTCACTTTGCAGAAACTTGCTGTGCAAGAGGCAACATAAGAAATATTGTTACTTCAAGACAGTATAGTACTGGCACAAAAACAGAAACATAGATCAGTGGAACAGGATAGAAAGCCCAGAGATAATCCCACACACATATGGTCACCTTATTTTTGATAAAGGAGGCAAGAATATACAATGGAGAAAAGACAGCCTTTTCAATAAGTGGTGCTGGGAAAACTGGACAGCTACATATAAAAGAATGAAATTAGAACACTCCCTAACACCATACACAAAAATAAACTCAAAATGGATTAAAGACCTAAATGTAAGGTCAGACACTATACAACTTTCAGAGGAAAACATAGGCAGAACACCCCATGACATAAATCACAGCAAGATTCTTTTTGACCCACCTCCTAGAGGAATGGAAATAAAAACAAAAATAAACAAGTGGGAGCTAATGAAACTTAAAAGCTTTTGCACAACAAAGGAAACCATGAACAAGACGAAAAGACAACCCTCAGAGAGGGAGAAAATATTTGCAAACAAAGCAACTGACAAAGGATTAATCTCCAAAATACACAAGCCCCTCTTGCAGCTCAATATCAAAAAAACAAACAACCCAATCCAAAAATGGGCAGAAGACCTAAATAGACATTTCACCAAAGAAAATATACAGATTGCCAGGAAACCCATGAAAGGATACTCAACATCACTAATCATGAGAGAAATGCAAATCAAAACTACAATGCGGTATCACCTCACACCGGTCATAATGGCCAGCATCAAAAAGTCTACAAACAATAAATGCTGGAGAGGGTGTGGAGAAAAGGGAACCCTCTTGCACTGTTGGTGGAGTGTAAATTGATACAGCCACTATGGAGAGCAGTATGGAGGTTCCTTAAAAAAACTAAAAACAGAACAACCATATGACCCAGCAATCCCACTACTGGGCATATATCCTGAGAAAACCATAATTCAGAAAGAGTCATGTACCACAATGTTCATTGCAGCTCTATTTACAATAGCCAGGACATGGAATCAACCTAAATGTCCATCGACAGATGAATGGATACAGAAGATATGGCACATATATACACTGGAATATTACTCAGCTATAAAAACAAAACAAAACAATATTGAGTTATTTGTAGTGAGGTGGATGGACCTAGAGTCTGTCAGACAGAGTGAAGTAAGTCAGAAAGAGAAAAACAAATACCGTATGCTAACACATATATATGGAATCTAAAAAAAAAAAAAAGTTCTGAAGAACCTTGGGGCAGGACAGGAATAAAGACGCAGATGTAGAGAATGGACTTGAGGACACGGGGAGGGGGAAGGGTAAGCTGGGACAAAGTGAGAGAGTGGCACTGACATATATACACTACCAAGTGTAAAACAGATAGCTAGTGGGAAGCAGCCGCATAGCACAGGGAGATCAGCTCGGTGCTTTGTGTCCACCTAGAGGGGTGGGATAGGGAGGGTGGGAGGGAGACGCAAGAGGGAGGAGATATGGGGATATACGTATATGTATAGCTGATTCACTTTGTTATACAGCAGAAACTAACACACCATTGTAAAGCAATTTTACTCCAATAAAGATGCTAAAAAAACAAAAAAGAAATATTGTTACTAATTGTATGACTTTGGGCAAGTTCTACCTCTGTAAGTCTTAGTTTCCTCCTTAGTTATAGAAATAATATATATCCAATAGAGAATTTAAGAGCTTCACTGTGATATAGGGATGGTACATTGCTTGACTGAGAAAAAAATGTTCCTTCAATGGTAATAATGATAAGTATATTAATATAAGCCATGAGCAACTACTGCAGTACCTCCTATAAAGCAGAATTAAGTGTAGCTATAAAGTAATGAGAGTGATTTTTTTTTTTTGCGGTACTCGGGCCTCTCACTGTTGTGGCCACTCCCGTTGCTAAGCACAGGCTCCGGACGCGCAGGCTCAGCGGCCATGGCTCACGGGCCCAGCCGCTCCGCGGCATGTGGGATCTTCCCGGACCGGGGCACGAACCCGTGTCCCCTGCATCGGCAGGTGGACTCTCAACCACTGCGCCACCCGGGAAGCCCAATGACAGTGATTTTTAAAAGTAGAGCAGGACTCATACACCCAAATGCATGGGAACAGACACTGGGTCCTGTTCTTGCCCTTTCAGGGACCTTCTTCCTGTAACTATTCCCTGTCTGTCCTGCATCACTGGTTCCTTTATTTTTTTGGCCACGCGGCATGGCTTGTGGGATTGAAGCTTGTGGACCCAGGTTCAATCCCTGACTTGGGCCCTTCACAGTGAAAGCACCAAGTCCTAACCACTGGACCACCAGAGAATTCCCAATACACCTTTCTTTATTGCATCCTTCTCATCACAATACAAACATGACTCTTGCCCTATAAAACCCTAACACAACCCCCCTTCTCCCTTCAGTAAGCTTCATTTTTTGTTCCCCTGTACAGCAAAACTCCTTAAAAAGCTGTCTCTCCTCCACTCTGCCCATTCTCCCCGAACCCACTCCAGTCAAGCTTTTGTATCAACTCAGCTGCTCTTGTCAAGGTCACGCATGCCCTCCATGAGGTCAAAGCCAGTGGTCAACTCTCACGCTTCATCTTTACTCGTCATCAGGGCCTGTCCCTCCCTCCTGACTCACATGCTTTACTAGGCCTTTGGGAGACTCTTTTTCCTTTGCTTCCCCTCACCCCAATCCTAACCCCTAAGGGTTTAGTCCTTGACTCCATCCTCTTTGTCATCTGCAAGTGGTCTTCCCAGGGGAAAGGCAGTGAGACTAAGGCCCAAAGCGACTGGGCAGGGAATCCAAGCCCATCTCCTCCCACCCGCTTCCCAATGTGCCTGGAAAGGATGACATTGTGGGGGGGGGGGGGGGGGGAATAGCCCACAGCTCTAGTCATTCCCTGGTCTGCAGAGGCCGCCTCCCAGGACTACTAGAGGAAGGCAGCTGCTTCCGGAAGAAAGCTGGTGGCTTCCGGAAGAAAGATGGCGGCTTCCACACAGCAAAATGGCCGCCTTCTCCTGCCCACCTCTTGCCCACCCACCTTGTGCAGTGTATTAACCACAGCGATGTTGCAGCCGTATTGGAAGGCCTCGCCAAAGGCTGTGCTCGGCGTGGCCAGCACCAGCGTGGATTAGAGGCGCTGCGGGAGAGGAGGTTTACGGTCAGGGACTGGGAGGTTAGTCCTGGGACTTCCGGAAGTGGGGCCGAGGCTGGGCTGGAAGTGGGGGTGGAGGACCCCAGGCCATGTCCAGGGGAGTGGGGGAGGTGCCGGAGGTTGGGGGGAGTGGATGGCATCATTTCCTGTTCCTTGAACGAATCCCCCTCCTTAAAGATACAGCTATGCGTCTCCTCTGGGCCTGGCCCTGGATGAAGTAGGGGAAGCTTCAGGAAAAAGGTCCAGCGTACTGTGCCCTTGAGGAGCTTATATTCTAGTGAGGGGAGGCCAACAAAACAAAAACACAGACAAGTACGAGACCTCCAAATAACGATAATGCTATGAGGACAATAAAACAGGTAATGGGGTAGAAGCCAGTGGGGGACAGAGAAGGGGGCTTTCTGAGCAGGTGCCTTTAAGCTGAAACCTGAAAGGGTGAGGTGGGCCTGTGAGCTGCTGCGGGAGGAGTTTTCAGACAGAGGAAGCAGCAAACAGAGGCATGGCTTGCCTTTCACTCCTGGACAGGCCCTGGGGAAAACCAAGGCAATCACGTTTCCATGGCTACCGCAGCACCCAAGGTAGTTCCCGGGAACTGACCCCCGGGGCCAAAGTCTGAGGAGGGGCCAGCAGAACTGGGGCAGGGTCTGTGGCTGCCTGAGTCAGTGCCACCCAGGGCTCCACCACGGTGCAGAGCCGTGGCCCCAGACCATCCCCCCCTCTCTGCTTGCCTGTTACCTATACCTCTGACCCCCACCCCCACTATCTGCCTCACTGCAGACAGCCCTCAGCCCTGTGCAGCCAGCAAACCGGCCAGGCAGACAAAAGCAGGATTTGGGCAACTTCAGAGGCTGGGGGAACGGGACGGGGACAGGGGTCTCCCACACTTCCCTAGAGCTGGACTCAACCCCTCCTCTCTTGTGTCTGAACTGGGATGTTTGGGGAAGCTGCTTCCCCCCCACTGCTCTCCCAGGGCTGGTGGCTCCCCAGGAAAGGCAGGGGCAGGGTTGTCCTCTCCTTGCTAGAAGCTTTTCAGGGGTCTTCCTCTCCCTCCACAGTCCCCTCACCTGGTGGCAAAGGAACAGTGGCAGTGACAGTTTCCTAGACTCGGCACTTACCCCTTCCCTGGGGTGGGGTGGGTGGAGGAGTCCCTGTCCCTCTTTTTCTCCGTCCTTGTTCAGCTGAGAAACAGGTGTGCTCTGCCTCCCAAGTGACACCTGGGTCCTGCTCTGTGTTGACAGCCTGGGGCCTGTGAGACTTTATTACCCTTTTGGTCTCTGGACCCTGCTGACTTTCCCCAGGAGAATATTTTCCTTGGACGTGTTGATAAGATAAAGATTCACACTCAGCGTGAATTTTGTCTTTGTCTCCATCAAGTCTCAAACCAGAAACTCTCTGGTTGCACCAAGGAGAAGAAAAACACCACCTGCCCTGGGTCCCTAGAAATGAGGTGTCTTGGAAACCAAGTCGGGCCTGATTGCCGGGATCCTTTATGCGTCTCCTGTGTTATCTCTCCATCTGTGCTTCCTCTTATGAATTTGGACTAATTGTCCATTTGGGGGAAAGAGCAAACTAAATGCTTTTAAAGAGATACAACTTAGTTATTTCTACTTACACTTATTAGTATTAAATAAGTCAATAAAATATTGAACAAAAAAAGTGCTTATTTCAGAATTATCACTATTAGAAAGAGAAATATCATATGATATCACTTATATGTGGAATCCAAAAAGAAATGATACAGATGAACTTATTTACAAAACAGAAACAGACTCAGAGACTTAGAGAATGAATTTATGGCTACCAGGGGGGAAGGGTGGGGGAAAGGGATAGTTAGGGAGTTTGGGATTGACATGTACACACTATTATATTTAAAATGGATAACCGCTGATCTATATTTCTATTTTTGTGCCAGTACCATACTGCCTTGATTACTGTAACTTTGTAGTATAGTCTGAAGTCAGGGACAGATGAATGGATAAAGAAGATGTGGTATGTGTATATAATGGAATATTACTCAGCCATAAAAAATGAAATTGGTCATTTGTAGAGATGTGGATGGACCTAGAGTCTTTCATATACAGTGAAGTAAGTCAGAAAGAGAATAACAAATTTTGTATATTAACACATATATGTGGAATCTAGAAAAATGGTACAGATGAAGTTATTTGCAGGGCAGGAATAGAAAGGCAGACGTAGAGAACGGACGTGTGGACATGGGGGAAGGGCAGGGTGGGCTGAATTGGGAGATTAGGTTTGACATAAATCCACTACCATGTGGAGAACAGTTAGCTAGTGGGAACCTGCAGTATAGAGCACAGGGAGCTTAGCTCGGTGCTCTGTGATGGCCTAGTTGGATGGGACGAGGTGGGGGGAGGGAGGTCCAAGAGGGAGGGGATGTGTGTATGCATATGGCTGATTCACTTCGCTGCATGGCAGAAACAAACACAGCACTGTAAAGCAATTATACTCTAATAATAAATAAAAATAAAATAAAATGGATAACCAACAAGGACCTACTGTATAGCACAGGGAACTCTGCTCAATGATACGTGGCAGACTGGATGGGAGGGGAGTTTGGGGGGAAATGGATACATGTCCATGTATGGCTGAGTCCCTCTGCTATGCACCTGAAACTATCACAACATTGTTAATCGGCTATACTCCAATATAGAAAAAAAAATTAAAAAAAAAAAAAAAAAAAAAAAAAAAAGGAATGATCTATATTAGCAAAACAAAAACGTAGGGAATAACTGGATAAATTATGACAAATCAACTGGAATGCCAGGCTGCCATTTCAAGGGATAATTATGAAAATTACGTAGGGACGTGGAGACATGTTATGAGCGTCATGTTAGGCGACTAAAGCAAAGTACACTTGTGTGCCTGGGTAAAAACGTGTTGGCATGTGGACAGCAGCGTGACGGCACATGGACAGCACATGACGGCCACCGGGATAAGAGAACATGGGGGCCTTATTTCTCCTAACGGTCTGCTCATGACAATTTAGGTATTCTCCCAAGTGCTACATGTTTTGTCTGCTGTGCCCCTCATCCCTTCTGAGGCCTTACTAGCAGAGTGTTAACTCTTGGGAAAGGCCTGGGCCCGGGACACTTCCCTACCAAGACATGAAGAGCCCTCACGGCCTGTGCTGGGCTTTTCACTCTGGGAGGGAGTATCTTTCCGTTTCAGGCTCAGTGTGCGCTCCAGGGTTCTGCTTAAAGCACGTTCAGCAGTGGCCAAAGGCAGGCCCCCAGCTTCTGTATTTCAGCCCTCACGGGGTGGGGCGGGGAGAAGGTGGGGTCCTCCCACGCAGCACAAAGTGGGGCGTGTGCAGCCTCCAGGGCTGTGCATCCACTGGCTGGGGGGTGGCGGATGCTTGGCCGGGAGCTGGATCTGGCACGTGCTCTCTCTCCTCTTTTGCAGTAAGTAGACGCTGTACGCCTTGAGCATGGTGTGTGAGTGCTCTGTCCTCAGCAGCCTTGAGTCATGCGCTCCTCTCTCCCCTGGGGGGCACCTCCCTGCCTTTGAACCTTGGCTGTACAGCCTGGTCCCCAGTGAGCAGTGAAATCTTAACATTTCTATTTCTACCACGTCTGTCCAAGGCCATCTAGGATTTTTCTATCACGTCCCTGAAAGTTCTTCCAGCCTCTTTCCATTGCCCCATGCCAAAGCCACTTCCATATTTTTAGGTATTTGTTACAGCTTCCCCTGCTTCTCAGCACCAAGATCTGTATGAGTTTCCTGTGGCGACTGTAACAAATTACCACACATTTAGTGGGTTAAAACCACACAAATGTATTACCTGACAGTTCTGGAGGTCATAAGTCTGACAAGGGTCTCAGTGGCCTTAAATCAAGGTGTCGCCTTTCTGGAGACTGTAAGGAAAGGCCATTTCTCTGCCTTTTCCAGCTGCTAGAAGCCTTCCTCCATCTTCAAGGCCAACAATATCAGACTGAGTCTTTCTCATGCTGCCGTCTTTCTGGTTCTTCCTGCCCCCTGTGATTACACTAGTCCCACTTGAATAATCCACTGCAGTCTCCCATCTCAGGGTTAGCAGACCACAGTTATCTCTCAGTTTGTTCCTAAAGGCTCTCGAATGCTAGCCCACTCCATCTTTCCACTTTATCAGCCGAATTCTGTATCCTTTTGGCAGAAATCACAATACCTAGTCACAATGCTTACAGTCTAATAACATTGATTCAACACTGTATGCCTCTCCTCCTTTCTCTGAGTCAACCGCAGCAACAAAGTCAAGCTGATGGCAAAACCAAGCTCCTTCCTGCTGTTCCTTCCGCTTGAAACATTCCTCCCCCAGGTCTCAGGTCAAATGTCACCTCCTTGGGGAGGTCCTCACTAGCACCACCCTTTTGAAAGTAATCCACACCCCTCACCCGGCGCTCTCCACCGCTTTGCCCTGAGCACTATCTGAAACGACCTCCAGTATTTGCTTACTTGTATTTTTGGCCATTGGATCCATTACATCCACTGGCTGGGACATAGTAGGTGCTCAACAAATATTTGTTGAATGAGTGAATGTCCTTGATTCATGATGCTCCCTCCCCCACTACCCTCCAAACACCTTATCCTCCCTTGCTATACAAATCTCACCCATTCTTAGAGGCTCAGCTCACCACATTTTCCTTGAAGACCACTCCAGGTCACGTCCATTCAGTCAACGTTTACTAAGTGCCAGCAAGTGTCAAGCTCCCAATCAGCTATCGGAGCTGCTCAGATGGTTAAGACAAGGCTCAGAGCAGACTCAAAACTAGACACAACAGTCTTCTGTCGATTCTCATTGCCCCATAATTCCCATTTGCATGTGGTTTGCATCTTCCTGCCTAGACTGTAAATTCCTTGAAGACAGCAGATGCCACATAGGCAACTCTGCCGTGTCCCAGTGCTGAGCTGGATGTTGGGTGACTGGAGAGCCCTCAGCAGCACTTGATCAGCTGGTTAAGGAATAACAGGGGAGGGGAGGAAGAGGAACCATCCACGGGTAAGAGAACCAAATCACCACGCACTTTTACGATGAAACCCATGCAAGCGAGGGTCAGAACGGCAGCCACCTGCCGCCTCATTCTTCCTCTGGGAACTGAGGAACCAGCCCTCGAGGAAGCTGATTGAAGATGGCAAGACTCTGTGTCACTTTCATTCCAAAGTGGGACTTCAGACTCTGCCCTCCAAGCTCTTCCATAACAAACATCGCCAGCGCTGCAGCCCTCCCATTCCTGAAGTCTGTCTGCTGCTGGTTAAGTGACATCAGGACAGAGGGCAATGTAGTGAGGTTTCCATGAAGAAAAATCTATTCGATTTAGAGGACTGAAATTTATTCTGTGGTCACATCCTCCCTATATAGTAAAATGCCCTTTCTTTTTTTTTTTTTTTTTTTTGCGGTACACGGGCCTCTCACTGCTGTGGTCTCTCCCGTTGTGGAGGCTCCGGACGCGCAGGCTCAGCAGCCATGGCTCACGGGCCCAGCCGCTCCGCGGCATGTGGGATCCTCCCAGACTGGGGCACGGACCTGTGTCCCCTGCATTGGCAGGCGGACTCTCAACCACTGCGCCACCAGGGAAGCCCTGCCCTTTCTTTTAAATCACCTACTTCTCATTATGATAGTAGTTGAGAGTTATTATTATTATTTTAGGTTTTTTTTTTTTTTTTTTTTTTTGCCACACCACACAGTGTGGGATCTTAGTTCCCTGACCAGGGATTGAACCCACGCCCTCAGTAGTGAAAGCACGGAGTCCTAACCACTGGACCACCAGGGAATTCCCTATTTTAGGTTTTTACTCACAAAATAAAAAGTAGGCAGCCCAGCGCTAGTTCACCCAGTTTTGGTCTGTGAAATCCAGAAGTGTGGAAACCACTGGTGAAAGCTACCTGCCTCATGGGGTTATGAACGTGTTGCCTTGCGGCTGGCAACTCCTCCAATTATGCTCTCCCTACATCATCTCAGCCTCTCGCTGCTCTGCTCTCGCTCTTAAAATCCTCCCAGCCAAGACTCATCGATTCAAAACACCCTGCTGTGTGCTCTGGGCACCGTGGATACACAGCAGCGAACAAACAGGGTCTGTAGCCCCTCACCGCCATCCCTCAGGGCTAACTGCCCTGTCCTTGACTGACCTTGAACGGCATCCACGGACCTCCCATCTCCCCACATTTTCTAATGGAGTGGCTCTTTAAATTGCAAATCGGATCAGAATTGTCTGACTCAAGTCAGCCAGTGACTTCCCCTCATGTTCAGAATAAAATCCCCAATCCTCCCGGTGGCCTGCTGAGTCTCTGCCAGCTACCTCCTTCCTTTCCCTTTCTGCTGCAGCTGTTCCACCGACCTCTCGTCACTCCCGAGCTGCGGCCAGCCCTCTCTCACTTCAGGACGTTTGCACCAGGCCGGTGCCTGCGCAGATTCTCTTGTGGCTGCCCCCTCGCTCCCTCAGGGAGGCCTTCCTCCCCCTCCCTGGAGAACAGCCGTTCTCCACCTGTCACCCTCACGCTACCCGATCTTTCTGGATCGCACCTCTCACTCAGCGACATGGTTTTCTTCACTGTTGCAGCCCCAGTGCCTGGAACACAGTAGATGCTTGATAAGTATGTATGTTTCCCCCAAATCTTCATCCTTGCTCTTCCGGCTTCAGAGCCATACGGTCAACTTCCTTCTAGATGTCTGCTGTGTGTACCGTGAGCTCCCCCATCTCAACAGGTCCAAAACTGTTAGTCTTCTCCCAAAACCTGCCGCTCAGCTCCCCAAACCATTCGCCATTGGCCCCTGTTAGAAACCTGGCACGTATGCCAGATGCCTCACCTGCAGTGGCCGAGGGCCCCTAACTCCCACCCAGTCTCTCTGAATTCTCCCTCACTTCTCGGCCTCACCACTGCTGGCTTTGCAGGGCCCTTATTATTTCTCACCAATCGGTCTCCCTCCCCAAGTCATGCCTGGTCTTGTTACTACAGCCACACTCTCTGAAACTCAACGGTCACGTACCACCAGGTTTATCTTTATTTTTTGGCTGTGTTGGGTCTTTGTTGCTGCGCACGGGCTTTCTCTAGTTGCGGTGAGTGAGCAGGGGCTACTCCTCGTTATGGTGCGTGGGCTTCTCATTGCGGTGGCTTCTCTTGTTGCGGAGCACGGGCTCTAGGCAGGCGGGCTTCAGTAGTTGTGGCACGTGGGCTCAGTAGTTGTGGCGCACGGGCTTAGTTGCTCCACCATGTGGGATCTTCCCGGACCTGGGATCGAACCTGTGTCACCTGCATTGGCAGGCGGATTCTTAACCACTGCGCCACCAGGGAAGTCCCGCCACCTTTATCTTGAGGACAAGGTTCAGGCTCAGTGTGGCTCACAGAGACCTACAGAATCTAGCTCGGGCTTTCTGGCTTCACAAAGCTACCTGGCGTTCCCCTCAAACCCTCTCATCTCTCTGTGCTGTTCCTCGCCTGGAATGACCATTCTTCTCTTTCCTACTGCATTTTCTCGTGGAGAAATCCTTCTTGTCTTTCCAAATTCCCCATCTTCCTTCTGTGCAACCACAGCACCAGGCCCATCTTTTTCTCCTCCTGTTGTATTTTACCAACGCATGTAAGTCCACATGTCTATAAATATTTCTGTGTGTAGCCACCTGTGTCTCTATGCAGCTGAACAATATCTCCAACTCTAGTCTATTACCACATGGATCATTGTAGACTCTCTCTCTTGGCTTATCTGTAATTTCCCACTGCAAGAGTGAGATGGTTCCCAGCATCTGCCATCCGCTTACTTGTTTAATCCCAGTATTCATGCAGAGTGGGGTCTCTCACTGTATTTTACCTGTGTGTTTATTTGTCTACAAGATCAACATCCCAAGCGCTTAAAAATAACTAAGTGCTTAATACACACCAGGCACTGATCTAAAAGCTACAAGCATAGAATTTAATTCTCATAACCAACCATGTGAGGCCTTTACTATTAGCTCAACCAAAAAGGAAACTGAGGTACAGAAACACCAAATAAGTTGCCCAAGTCGCTCAATTACTAAGTGGCAGAACCGTGGTTGACCCCAGAGAATAGACCCGCAGAATCGTGAGCTCCAGAGCCTCCCCTGGGTTAGAGGTGCTGCAGGTAACATGAGCGGAATTAATAATGCCACAGTCCCTTAATTCTGACGTTCTGGCCTTACTGTTTCTCAGCACTGCGAGCTGCCATCTATGGTTGTTTTCTGTGCCCCCTCACACTGTAGGTCCCTGTGGCAGAAGGTAAGGATGGTTCAACCACAGGATCGTCTAGGCCTTCACTATATTTGTGAGTCATGGAATTCACCACCTGGGGAATCCCCATTCCACCCCCAAGAACACTGCTCCCAACCCCACCTCTGTCCCACCGGCCCCTGGCCTCTGCCTCCCTAACTCCCGGGAGAAGATTTCACATCCTGTCAGAAGCCTTTCAGCAGGCGGTCCCTCCACTTCCCTTCCTACGCCTCAGTTTTCTCCACCTTTTTGTACACACCCTCTTCACACACACACACCCCCCTCTACGAAAGCCTCTAGCTCTGCTGTGTGTGTGTAGGGGGCACTGCCTCTTTCTCCCGACACCCTTTCCTGTCCACCTTCAGGGCCCCTCGGTGTTCGCTATGCACCTGAACACATGCAGAGGCTTCCCCAACCTTAAATCTTAAAAATCTCAGCTTTGCGACCACCTCTTCTCTCACTCCTCCCCTTCTTTCAGCAAATATCGTCTGAGCGGCCTCCTCCATGCCAGGCTCTTTTAGGCAGTGGGGATTCCGGGATAAACAGAACTGGCCAAACCCCTGCGCTAAGGGGCTGACACTCCAGTGCAGGCAAGCTGTTTGAAGGAGCAGGGAATGCCCCTCGCCTTCCACCGGCTCACAGAAAAGCAGCACGTCTTGGTGAAAAGTGATCATATTTGTTTTATTGAGTATACAAAGGCAATTCTATTGTCCTCTAATAATATAATTTGGGAACAATAATCTCTGACTTGGTTAAAGTCTCCACAGGGACCTGCTTCCCAGATTCCTAGACTTCATGACTCACGACATCATACTTTTCAAAACTAGTGTTTCTGGAGATGGATCTGACAAGAGGATGGATTCCACCCTGAACATGGGCCCGTGGCCCCCGGAAGACTACGGGATTGGAGAAGAACTAGTTTCTTTGGCCACGTTTGAGTCCTTCCATCTCAACACCATGGTAAGGGCTTTCATTATAAGAGCCGGTGTTGCCAGGAGCCACACAATGGCTGACCCAGCATGGCTGAGGGACAGCTGCCCGGCATGCCTTGGGGTTGGTGATGGGTCAACCTGGAAAGAGACAGCCTGGCTTTAAGAACTGCACAGAAGCCCTTACGACAGTCTCATCAGGGCCTGCCTTCCACACCGGACTTGTCCTAGTTCTGGATTCATAGCCCAGGAGGGAATCTCCACGCAGACCTGATTCACAGGCTCCTCCTCTCGAGTTACTGCCCCGCAGTAGAGGGCGGAAAGTCCTTTAGCTCCTCCTTTTCTGGGTGCACCTCTGACATTTTGTTCATCTTGGTGAAGATCTCATTGATTTCTATGAAGGTCTTGGACTTGGTCTCGGGGACAACCAGGAAGGTGTAGATGGTGGTGAGAACACATATCATGGCAAAAATGATAAAGCTGTAAGCTCCGAGGCCCACCTGTGGGAGGGAAGAGGGTTCGTGTTCTTGAAAAGGTTCTCGATTTACTGCTTGAGTATTTTGGGCCTCTGGGGCCCCTGGGTGGCACTTACTTGAATGAATGGGAAGATCAAGCCCACAGTGAAGTTGGAGAGCCAGTGGACACTGCCCCCCACCATGTAGGCGGCCGGCCGGGAGGACTGCAGGAAGATCTCGGTGATGAGCAGTGCGGGGATGGGACCTGGGGAAGAAGAGGAAGAGCTGTCTTCCCTGCCGGCCGAGCAAGCCCACAGAGGGTCCTGGAGCCCCTGCCCGTGCAAGGTTCCAGAGGCATCCGGCCCAAGGCGGGGCAGTGTGTCTCCAGGACTCCTGGTCTCGTGGAGAAGCAGTGTGAGAAGGCACCTAGCAAGAGTCGGACACAACAGGCGACATCCTGTGATGTCCCTAAAGGGGGCCCATGACCACCTGTAAGGCTCTCTGTGCCGACCACACGGGCACCGTGCTCCAGCCTACACAGGCTGCTTTACCGTCCTCGCTCAAAGCCCTCTGCCACAAGAACACAGGCAGAGAAGCCATTTGGGCCGAATTCGCCCCTCCCTGGAGCCTCTCTAAGGAGCTCAGGTCAGCAGTTTCTAGGGCTGGTGGTACAGGAGGGGGCAGTGAAACCACAGAACCAGCTCTGGGGTACATACTGGGCCCAAGGGCATGTCCTATGACATAGGAGATGACGCAGGCGATGCTGACGTAGGGCATCCAGGATATTGTGTCCTGTGGGGAGAAAACAGAGTTGGATCACACCTGGCAAGGCGGAGACAACCTGGGACGGGAGCGTCAGGACTCTCGGTTCCCGGAGGGCCAGTAGCTCTGCCTGGGTTGGGAAGGCGGGCGCCAGGCACCTCCTTCTACAAGCAGCGCCACCTGGATGCCCCTGGAATACCGGCTGGAAGTGGGAAGTGCGCTGCTGGGGCGGGGATCGGGGCTGCACGGGATCCCCAAGCAGCGGACTCGCGCATGCGCACGAGGGCGCAAGCCCCCCCGCCCCCGCCCAAGGCGCCCCCTTCCTCACCTGCAGAGCCAGGGCGGCCGTCAGCACGCAGCAGGCGGTGAAGCAGATGGAGAAGCCTAGGAGGAGCAGGAATCTCCTCCCCAGGAGCTCCACCACGAAAACCTGGAGGGAAAGGGCGAGGAAACGTGGGAGGCTCAGCAGGCCCACCTCCCCTGTGCGCCCACCCGCTCGTGTGTGTGTGTGTGTGTGTGTGTGTGTGTGTGTGTGTGTCCTTGAATGGCCAGCGGGCCTCCGCACTGCGCAGTCCAGGGGCCCCATTTGTCACACGGTGGCCCTGGCACAGGTAGTTGTCCCCAGTGTGAGACGTTGGAGAAGAGCCGCCTCTCACGGCGGTAGCTTACGGAGTGGACGGTGGGGACGGGCCTCCATCTTTGGGGCCACAGGCTACCGACCCCCCCCCCCCCCCCCCCCGGCGAGAGACAGGCTGGCATCTGAGGACAGCCCAGAGGCTAGAGAGGAGGGACCGAGGGGCACGTCGCCACTAAGCTCCGGGCTCCTTCCTGGGCCAAGACTCCCCTCTCTCAAGGTGCCCTCCATCCTGGTGGCAGACAGGGACTCGGCTCCCGGGGGCACTCACGGCGCAGACGGTCATCAGCACGTTGACCGCGCCTGTGCCCGCCGTCACGTACTGGACATCCTGTGCCCTCACCCCGGCGCTCAGGTAGATCTGGTCTGCGTAGTAGTAGATCTGGAAGGCCACCCCCGAGGCTGGTGAGGCCGGCCGGGCAGCCTGGACCCCTCGGCGGATCCCTCCCCGACCCCGACCCCGTGCCTGCCCGCTGCCCCGGCCCCGGCTGCCCTGGTACCGCGTTCACTCCCGACAGCTGCTGGCCGCCCATGAGGACGACGATGGAGATGACCTGCCACCGCAGGGACCTCATTCTCAGCAGCTTCAGCACGGAGATGAAGCCCGCGGCCTTCTCGGCCCTGTCCTCCTCCCAGATCTCCTGTGTCTCGGCGTCCACGTCGTCCCAGCCGCGCAGTTCCCTCAGCGCTGGGGGAGAGAGCAGGGAGGGCGCTGGGGGCTGAATCACGCAACCCCCCGCCCCCCAGCAAAGATGCCGCAACCTGCGTCGTTTCTTCCGGTCTCCGGGGAAAGCCTTACCGTTTTTGGCAGCCACGTCATCTTTCTTCTGAATGAGCAGGTACCTGGGGCTCTCGGGGAAGAAGGGCAACAGAAGGAGCTGCAGTGCCGCGGGGATCCCGGTCACGCCGAGGAGGATGGGCCAGCCTGCAAGGAAACCAGTCCTACGTGAGAGCTGGCGCCCAGCCTCGTCTCCTGCTTCTCTCCGCCTCCAGCCCCACGGAGCCGCTCTGGCCCATTATCCTGATTGGTTTTCTCTGGAGCTGGAGCTTCTCTTCCGTCCCCAGCACCTAGGATGGCGCCTAACCAAGAGCGGACACTCTAAATACTTAGAGAATGGAAGCTGACGAACAGCCACTACCCACCTATCAGACGAACAAAGTGAAAACTTCTGACAACACCAAGCACTGACGAGAATGTGGGCAGGTGGGAAGTGTCCACACCGCTGTGTGGACACGTGGCATCTTTAGGGGACAGTCTGGCAGGAGCTAGTGATGCTGGACACCCACGTGCTCTAACCCAGCAGTCCCGCTCAGGAACGCACGCCTGGGCCACCAGGACACCGGAAGGACAAGGGCAGAGAAGCACTGATTATAGAAACAAAACCCAGAAACAAGGCGAATGTCCACACAGTAGAATGGACACATACATCTTGGTTCATTCATAAGATGGAATTTTATACTGTGGTGAAAATGAAGCAAGTCAGGACAGGAGCCAGTCCCACCAATGTGATGTTGGGTGCAATGTGGTTCCACACGATGTGGTTCCACAGTATTAAGTCCGGAAACAGGGAAAATTAACTCTGTCTTCTAGAAAAGTGGTGAAACTCTTCTAGGGAAGAGTAAGGATGCGATGATCATAAATGTTGGCATGGTGGCTCCCTTTGGGGGCAGGAAGGCTGTGATTGAGGGGCGCACAGGGGGCCGGCGTGGTTCTAGTTCTGGGCCCTTATGTATGTTACATCACTCAATAAAAACGGTTAAATAAGTGAATGAGTGGTTCAGGCTCCTTCTAGGAGCTGTGAATGCCCGACTCACCCCCTTTTCTCCTATGCAGGTGATAACTGCAGACATCTGCGTGCCAGGCACTAGAGTCTAACGGCTTTTCACATGTAGCCCACTTCCCCATCATAGCAATGTCTGGAGGCAGGTACCAGGATCAACCCCATGTTACACCTGCAAACACTGAGGCATGGAGGGCATGTAGCTCCCTTGCCCGAGATCAGTTATTTGGAGCAAAGCCGAGATTCAAACTCAGGCACATTGAACCCTGAATCCCCATCCTCCCAACCTTCTCCCACCTCTTGGCTCTGAATCCAGCGCCTAGCTGATCCGGGTCCCGCTTCTATCACCCTTGCACAGGCTACAGCGAGTATGGACGTGCCAGCCATTCGGGCCGTTGCCATCTGCCCTCTGGCCCCCACCCCGCCCCCGACACTGAAACTCTTCTCATGAGATCTCAGTGACCCCTAACTGCCAAACCCAGACACCCTGTTCCAATCTTGACCCCCGTGACTTCTATGCAGCCTTTGTGCTGTGACTGCCCACTCGCTTCCAAGAACTCTGACTATTCTCTCTGGCCTTCCTTCCTTCTTCACTGAGTACCTAGAATGTGCCATGAATTGCGCCGGAGATTCAAAGATGAGGAAGGCTAAGCCCTGCCCTCCACACTCTTGTCTAGAGGAGGGTACCAAGGGCTGATTAGTCACCATAAAGGATGGAGGGACAAAGTGAGAGTCCACCACCACACCTGCAGCTCCCTGCATGCACAAAGAACTTTATGCTTCCATCCCCTCTGCCCACATCTGGAATGCTGGTCCTACCCGCCCCCCCAAGCCCAGGTCCTCTCTGAGACCCCCTCCCTGGGTGGAACCATGGCTGCCTCCCACACACCACAGAGCACTTCGCAGGTGCCAGGGATCCGTGGCTGTTTCTGGGTGCAGCTGGTTGGTTACGTGCCATCAGCGGGGGACAGGAACCTAGCTCCTCCACTCCTGGGCCCAGCTCTTTACAAGGGCGATTGAAAGGTGGGAGAGCTGGTAGTTAAACTCGGACTCAGGCCTGCACTGCCTGCATTTGTGTCCTAAGGAGACATTGGACATGTGATCCAACTTCTCTATGCCTCAGGTTCTGCACCTGTAAAATGGGTACAGTAATAGTACATGCTTCATAGGTTGTTTGGAAGATTAAATGGATTATATAAAAGACTTCATGTCTGGCCCATACGTTTTGACTGGTGCTTTGTTAGTGGTGATTTCCCTTTCAGAGGTTCGAGACCCAAGAGGAAAGAAAGGGAGGTCATGCAAGAACAACGCAGTTATGAGTTGCTGTGCATCTACTGTGTGCCAGGCCCCAGGCTCTTGGGGTGCGGGGATGTGCGGCTCTGAAGTCTGGGTCTGGTGTGGATACCAGCCCTGAGGCTCACCACCTCACCCACGGAGGCTGGGTCTTGTGACCCTCTTTCCTGGTCTGTGATGGGATGATCACGGGCCCCTGGGCAGCTGCATTGCTGGGAGGCTCCAGTGCAATGGTGCCGAAGGCCTTAAGCACAGAGCCTGGCACCCTGGTAGCCGTCATTACCACGCCCCGGGTCCCTGTGTGACAGCCACCAAGCAACAAGAGAAAGATAGCAGCACCTCCTGCGCCCTCACAACTCCCTCATCCGTGTCCCAACAGGGACTAGAGAACGTCAGTCTGTCCCCACCAACTTGTTCAGGCCCGCTCTGGGCAACCTCCAGCTCAGCACTGTGGGGTCAGGGCTGTGCAGGGGCCCCGTCGTTTAGAGAGAAAAGATCAGCTCATAGGAACGGGCTGGGGGTCTGAGGTGTCCTGAGCTCACCTTCTTCGTTTGCGAGGAGACTCCGAAGACCCAAGATCTGGGCCGCAAGGATGCCGACGGTGATGAAGAGCTGGGGCACCACCCCCAGGGCCCCCCGCAGGTTCTTAGGGGCCAGCTCCCCTAAGTACATAGGGACGACATTGGAAGACAGACCTGGGAGGGAGGGTGAAATAAAGACACCATCAGGAAACATTAATCTGGCAGGGATGAGCTCTGTCTTCAAACACATTTATTCTTCCTCAGCAATCGCATTAGTTGGGCTGAAACTGTCTCAAAACTGCAGGACTAAGCAAACCACCCCTCTTGCAATCCTTAGGCCTTCTAACTTTAAGAGAAAATAGTCTGACCAAAGAAGTTCATGGACAGTGCGTTTGCTTCCAGACTGGTGTCACCTGGGGACACAGGCCACCCGGACCTCAGGTCTTCCCTCCTGATTGGCTTGGTCTCGGAGAGGAAAAGCCCCGGTGTGGTTAGACTCTCTCTCCTCTCTTGCTCCTTCGGGGGGAAACCTGTTACTAAAAGGCCAAGGACCCCTGCCCACCAGCTTTACCTTCTGAGACTGTATATTACATAATAGGCTGATGCACAGACATCGAAGCACAAGCTTTATTTGTCAGTAAGCACTGAAAACTTACATATATATTGTAGACTAACTGCATTCTGGGATTTGTGTAATGACTGAACTACTTCTGACTCCTCAGTATTTGAACGTGTTGGTTTTCCCGTCTTACTGATGTCTGACCCCCTTATGAATAGGTGAAACAATTTAATAGGCTCTAAAGTATTTTCACAGATATTATCCCATTTAGTTCTCCTCAAAGTCCAATGAAAGGTTGGGGGTCTGGGAGGAAGGTCAGATGGGTTGTTACTGGTCCAAGTATCGCACGTGGAGCCAGAGGCAAGCTGGTGCTCAGAGAGACGTGGGGTCTGAGAGGGAGGCTGTGGCCAAGGGCAGACCAAGGGAGACAGTGTGGGGTGAGGGGAGGCTGGAGCCGCTGGTGATGGGAGGGTATTTTATAGCACTGAGATAAGAGGAAACTGACGGCCAAGTTTTCAGCTCTGCAATTCTGCCCAAGGGCATCTCTGCTTAGTATTTTATTATTATTATTTTTGGCTTTTTTTAAAACATCTTTATTGGAGTCTGATTGCTTTACAATGTTGTGTTAGTTTCTGCTGCATAACAAAGTGAATCAGCTATACATATACATATATCCCTATATCTCCTCCCTCTTGAGTCTCCCTCCCACCCTCCCTATCCCACCCCTCTAGGTGGTCGAAAAGCACCGAGCTGATGTCCCTGTGCTATGTGACTGCTTCCCACTAGCTATTTTACATTTGGTAGTGTATATATGTCCATGCCACTTTCTCACTTCGTCCCAGCTTACCCTTCCCCTCCCCATGTCCTCAAGTCCATTCTCTATGTCTGCGTCTTTATTCCTGTTCTGCCCCTAGGTTCTTCAGAACCTTTTTTTTTTTAAGATTCCATATATATGTGTTAGCATACGGTATTTGTTTTTCTCTTTCTGACTTATTTGACTCTGTATGACAGACTCTATCTAGGTCCATCCACCTCACTACAAATAACTCAATTTCGTTTCTTTTTATGGCTGAGTAATATTCCATTGTATATATGTGCCACATCTTCTTTATCCATCATCTGTCGATGGACACTTAGGTTGCTTCCGTGTCCTGGCTATTGTAAATAGAGCTGCAATGAACATTGTGGTACCTGACTCTTTTTGAATTATGGTTTTCTCAGGGTATATGCTCAGTAGTGGGATTCTGCTTAATATTTTAAAAGGGGCATCACAGTTCATTAATTAATACCAATTCTTTCTGATTTTCAGACAAAGACAGACAGTCTTTAGAGCAGCTCCTAGGTGTCTTGTGTGGTGGACGGGGGGGACACTGCGGGCCCAGTGCTCAAAGGGCTATGGAGAAAGCGAGGCCCTCATGTTGCCCGGTCACCATTCAGGCCCTGGTGGCCACTTCTCAAGTCCAAGTGCTTCTGAACTTAGTTAATAGCAACTGGAGAGACAAACACCAGGAGGTTTGTGAAGAGATGGGATTCCCTTCATGTCGGTGGAGAACAGTCTCATTCTGTCTTAAAAACAACTCCACGGGGCAACCCCCGGCCAGCCTGTTCTGACACCAAAGCCAGAGAAGCAGCTTTTAAAGTTTAAATTCCGTTAGTGAAAGTCTGAAGCGTTCTTACCAAAGGTGTTGACTGACAGCAAACCAGCAAACTGAGCATCTGGGGGTCCAAGCTGCATTGACCCTGAGCCCCCTTGGTCAGAGTGGCCGTTTACTTCGTTTTTAGGGTGTCTAAGTACCACGGGGCTTGATGACACCCTTTCCTGACTTTTCAGGAAATACGTGAAGGAATGAACAGCAGATAGATTAAGCTTCTGCTGGAGTTCTTCAAGTATGACCTGAAGACACAGGGGGTTCCTGACACCTTTCAGGGGGTCTGCGAGATCAAAACGGTTTTCAGAACCGTCCTGAGATGCTACTTGTCCTTTTCATTCTCGTTCCCTGACCAGTTTTCCAGAGATCACACGCCCTCTGACGTCACACCAACAGAACACAGAAGCAGGTTTGAGAACCTGGCTGTCTTCCGTTAAGTCAGACACTCAAGAGATTTGCAAAAATGTAAAGCAGGGCTTCCCTGGTGGCGCAGTGGTTGAGAATCCGCCTGCCGATGCAGGGGACACGGGTTCGAGCCCTGGTCTGGGAGGATCCCACATGCCGCGGAGCTACTAGGCCCGTGAGCCACAACTACTGAGCCCGCGCGTCTGGAGCCTGTGCTCCGCAACAAGAGAGGCCGCGACAATGAGAGGCCCGCGCACCACAATGAAGAGTGGCCCCCGCTCGCAGCAACTAGAGAAAGCCCTCGCACAGAAACGAAGACCCAACGCAGACAAAAAAAAAAAAAAAAATGTAAAGCAATACCACTAAATTTTTTTGTTTTAGAAACTAGAATTATTTTCATAAAGACATGTAATGGGCTTCTTAGTGCTATCTTAAAATGAATTAATACCTTTCTTGGTTGCAATTTCTAACATGGTAAATATTGAGCAGTATAACACATACGAGCTCCTTAGAACCCTCAATAATTTTAAGAGTGTAAAGGGGTCCTGAGGCCAAAAAGTTTGAGAACTGTTGACCAGAAGTCATGCTTATTTAAAAGCAAAGGTTGGTTGGGAATTCCCTGGCGGTCCAGTGGTTAGGACTCTGTGCTTTCACTGCCGAGGGCCTGGATTCAATCCCTGGTTGGGGAATTAAGATCCGGGAAGCTGTGTGGCATGGCCAAAAAAAAAAAAAAAAGCAAAGGTTGGGATGTTAAACTGTGATCTTTCTATTGGAGCCTAACATTTCTTTTTTGGAACCAACTCTGAACTGTTGGCTGTCAATAGAAACGTCACAGCACCTGTCCGCTGCTGACAACTTCCAGGAATCGTCCATTTTTCATAAAGCTGAGCCCGGCTGCAGGGAAAAAGTGCAGGAGCAGGGCCAGGCACCTCGGGACTCCTGGCCAGATGGTAGATGAATGTCCGGGTGCTCTCAGGGAAAGCTAGAATGAATGAAGTTTGCCAGGGGGCCCATCAGTCCCTCCTTGAGGTGACCTCTTCTGTCTTCGGGAATCTTGTTTTCCTCTTCATCTCCCCAGCCCTGCAATCCCTCGCCACTTCCCCCAATACCAGGCTCCTTGCTGTCTCCTCTATTGTCAGTAAACTCCAGGGAAGGGGTTTGCTGACATCCAGCCAAATTATCCCTTCTTCATCCCCATCCCTGTGTTTGGAAGGAGAACGAGTCACTTGAAAATGCCACAGCCTGGTGGGGGGCGAGTGAAGTGCCCAGGGTGCAGCATTTCCAGGGGCGCTTACCCTTGGGGGCCCACCCTGCAGTGCACGGCCCCGAGAGTGGGCACCTCGCTTGCCTCGATGGCCCTGGCCCTTCTGCCTACAGAGGAAGCCAACCTGAAGGAAGGCCACGGCATGGCTGAACCATGTCTCTTCAGTCTGAAGCCATCATGGGGGAATTTTCTATAACCAGGGAAACCCGGCCTGGGCAGAATGGCTTTGGAGAGGTTACTACCATTAACTCTTTTCTGGTAGAGGGATTCATGCATCTGATAATTTCTCAAGCTTTTTTGACCACAACTCACGGTGCAAAACACAGAAATACATTTTACATCCAACTTGGTTCTCACATATGTATAAAGATAAAGAACTGAAACAACGTTTCAAAAGACAATCCTTGGGCTTCCCCGGTGGCGCAGTGGTTAGGAGTCCGCCTGCCAATGCAGGGGGCGCGGGTTCATGCCCCGGTCCGGGAAGATCCCACATGCTGTGGAGCGGCTGGGCTGAGAGGCCCGTGTACCACACACAAAAAAAGACAATCCTTATCTTTACTACACGTGACACAGTCTACCCTAGTTAAAAGCAAAAAAAAAAGAAAATACTGTTTGCTGAACGGATGTCACCACCCACCAACTGATCCTGAGACAGGCTGGGATCTGGGACCCTTTGCTGCAGTGTTTGCACCTGGACAAACATCTCCTTGAGCAACAAGCTGCAGAGAAACTATAAGGGACTAAAAATAACTGTGTGCATTTGTAGTTGGGGCAAATTATGGACAAAAAGATACAAAAAGACCAAAGAAAACCCAACTGTCACCTCTGAAGAGCCAGGAGAAAACACTGGATGTCTTGAGCACAAGCAGTGTACTGCGCATGCCCCCTGCACTCAACAGCACAAAGGGGTGGGCAAAACACCCAAGCCACCCCTCTGGCCTGATGCCTGGACACACCTCTTCCCTCACCCCATATAAGGAACGAGCTCGCCCCCCACCTCGGGGAGTGAGCAAGGGAACCTCTTACTTGTTTTTGCTCCCTCCTGCGGCTGCAGGGGCCCCAACAAAGCCTTGCCTGTATTTCTTGTCTGGCCTCTAGCCAATTTCTGTTGACTGGGGAAGGCCAAGAACCCTGGTCAGTATCAGTCCCAACCTGCAGTTTAGAAAACATTGAGATAAAGGACTGGTTGGAAGGACCAGTCCTGTCCTAAGATTCTGTATCTCAGTCTTTCAAAGAACAGCTTTCTTCACAGGAAACTCCACAGTGAAGATCTGCCCACGGTCCACACACATCCCTATAACGCAGGGGCTTAAGCGTCTACCCACAGCAGAGGTGTAGGAACAGCGTGACCCTATATGCTTCAGAGACCCCAGACTGGTTCAGACGCCAGGTGCCTGTTCTCCCTCCCTCTGACCACCCCGAATCACAGAATGGTTTACCTGCACATATTCCCACCAAAAGTCTGGCCACAATTATCATCTCAAATGACTTGGCAACTTCACTGCATCCCATTAAGATCGCAGGCACGATGGAAAAGATGTTGTTGAACAGCAAGGTTCCTTTTCTGCAGAGGACAAAATACCAGTCGGTTTGGTTTAAGGATCTGCCACTCCTTTAACAAATGTTTGCCGAGCACCTACTCGGTTACAGCAGTTGCTGTTGTGTTGTTCGATTTGCTGTTGACCTAAGATGGATACAGGTCCAGCGCATGGCCTGGTGTGGGAATATTCTCTGTGGGAGCAGATGTAAATGACCCAATGCAGAGGGCATCAGTAGTGAGGAGCAGAGGGAAAGGCTCGCATATTACAATACAGTAAAGGGTTCTGCCACCATAAACTAACATGATTTTAGTGTAATCTTGAAACCCAGACTGGATGAGGACATTAAAGGAAAGGTTTAGACCAATCTCACCTATCAACATAGATGTGAAACTCCTAAATGAAATATTAGCCAATTGAATTCAACAGCATATATAAGACTGTTTCAAGGTTAAAAACACCATATGAAAGATTGTACTGGGGAAAAATATAGGATTATCAATTGAAGTAGCAAAACAAGTCAATACAATTTGATATCGATCATGATTTAAAAGAAAACCTTAACAAACTATAAAAATGAGGGAACTTATGTAAGCTGATAAAGGGTATCTCCTGAAAACCTATAAAAAAATCAAACTTAATAAAACTTACAAAACAGTCCAATTTAAGTCAAGACTGGAGTAGGACTTGGGCCCTGGAGAGCCAGACAAAGGCAAAGGGAAAGCTTCTCTGGAGAAGCCCCTCCCATTGGGCTCCCCAGGAGTCCCCCAGCCAGGTACCCCCACCCCCTGAGATGAAGCGTCACCATTACAGGACACACAAGACAATCCACCCCCTGCAAGAGGCCGCACATACAAACAGCACAGCTTCAGACAACAGGATCAGATAGAAGCCATCAAATATGTTTTAAATGAGTGGCGTCATAAAATAAGGACTCAAAAGCGTACTATAGAAAGAACAAGAACATGCATAAAACAGAACTACCCAAAACAATAGCAAAGAAGATAGATTTTAAAAGCAAATGAAAAATATAGTCATTGAAATAAAAACGTAGTAGGTGAATTGCAGCTGAGGAAACAATTAATGAATAGGAAGGCAGACCTGAGGAAGTTACATAGAAAGCAACAGAGAGAGAGAGAGAAAAGATGGGAAGTATGACCTATTAAGATAGGGAGGATTATAATATCACTAGTCACAGTAGCCAGAAGGTGGAAGCAACCCAGATGTCCACCGACAGATGAATGGATAAACTAAATGTAGTATATTCATACAACAGAGTATTATTCAGCCTTAAAGAGGAAAGAGATTCTGACACGTGCTACAATACGAATGCACCTTGAGGGCATTAGGCTAAGTGAGATAACCCAGTCACAAAAGGACAAATCTTGTAGGATTCATTCATATAAGGTCCTTAGAGTAGTCAAATGCACAGAGACAGAAAGTTGATTGGTGACTTATGGGAAGATAAGAAAGGGGAGTTATTGTTTAATGGGTACATGGTGTCCATTTTTGTAAGATGAAAAGTTATAGAGATGGGTGGTGGTGATGGTTGCGGAACAGTGTGAATGTACTTAATGCCAAAAACCTGTACACTGGACTTCCCTGGTGGCGCAGTGGTTAAGAAGCCACCTGCCAATGCAGGGGACACGGGTTCGAGCCCTGGTCTGGGAAGATCCCACATGCCGCGGAGCAACTAAGCCCCTGCGTCACAACTTCTGAGCCTGCACTCTAGAGCCCGCGAGCCACAACTACTGAGCCCGCATGCCACAACTACTGAAGCCCATGTGCCTAGAGCCTGCGCTCCGCAGCAAGAGAAGCCACTGCAATGAGAAGCCCGCGCACCACAGCCAAGAATAGCCCCCGCTTACCACAACTAGAGAAAAGCCTGCAGGCAGCAATGAAGACCCAATACAGCCAAATTAATTAATTAATTAATTAAAATTAGGGGAAAAAAACAACCTGTACACTTAAAAGTTGGTTAAAATGGTAAATTTTATGTTATGTATATTTACCACACTTTTTTTTTTTTTTTGCCGCACCGTGCCACTTGTGGGATCTTAGTTCCCTGACCAGGGATCAAACCCGGGCCCTGGCAGTGAAAGCGTGGAGTCCTAACCACTGGACTGCCAGGGAATTTCCACCACAATTTTTGAAAAATAGTTTTTTAAAGAAGTCTCTTTACAGACAACAACAACAACGACAAAGGCACGGAGGAACTTCCAGAAGAATATAGAAAATGGAGGAGAGAAAAGATCTGTAGAAATGATGGCTGAAAACTTTCCAGAACTGATGACAAAGACATGAAACCTCAGACAAGGAACTGCCATGAGTTCTGGGATAAATAAATCAGCCATAGCTTACTCATGAAAGGGAAGATTCAACAGTGTAAGGATGTTTAGTTTTCCTCCAATTAAATGATAAATCCAAGTCGATTCCAAGCAGAATTCTTTTTCAGGGATTTCGATAAGCTGATTTTTTTTTTTTTTTTTTTTTGCGGTACGCGGGCCTCTCACTGTTGTGGCCTCTCCTGTTGCGGAGCGCAGGTTCCGGACGCGCAGGCTCAGTGGCCATGGCTCACGGGCCCAGCAGCTCCGCGGTATGTGGGATCCTCCCGGACCGGGGCATGAACCCGTGTCCTCTGCATCGGCAGGTGGACTCTCAACCACTGCGCCACCGGGGAAGCCCTCGATAAGCTGATTTTAAAATTAACACAGAAGACTAAAGGAACATGAATAACTAAGATAAATTTGAGAGTAAGTGATTTTTTACCTGGAAAAAAATTAAAATAAAATTGGCCTTCCCTCTCCATTCACCTATTACATACAAAATAAAATTATCCCAGATCTATCTGGGAAAGACAAAATTGTAAAATCATTTTTTTAATTATAGAAGATTATCCTTATGACGCCTGGTAGGGAAGACTGTCTTAAGACACAAAAAGCAAAAATCATAGATGAGTTAAATGTGACCACTTGAACATTTAAAGATTTTGTATCAAAAAGATACTACATGTACAATTAAAAATAAAGCAACAGGGCTTCCCTGGTGGCGCAGTGGTTAAGAATCCGCCTGCCAATGCAGGGGACACGGGTTCGATCCCTAGTCCGGGAAGATCCCACATGCCGCGGAGCAACTAAGCCCATGCGCCACAACTACTGAGCCTGCACTCTAGAGCCTGCAGGCCACAACTACCGAGCCCTCGTGCCACAACTACTGAGCTCCTGTGCCTAGAGCCCATGCTCCACAACAAGAGAAGTCACAGCAATGAGAAGCCCGCGCACCGCAACAAGAGTAGCCCCCACTCGCCACAACTAGAGAAAGCCCACGTGCAGCAATGAAGACCCAAAAAGCCAAGGAAATAAATAAAATAAATAAATTAAATAATAATAAATAAATAAGGCAATGGATTGAGAAGACATGTGCCGGATACAACAGAGTACAGTGTGGACGTTACTTGCACAATGTGCTCAGAAGTGAAATTTCCTCCCAGCACCTCTGTGCCTCCTTTTCCCATGTGTGAAGAGGGGATGGGGCTTTTGTAAGGATTAGTGCAATTAGTATCCCCTAAAAGCACTTAGGATAGAGGCTGGCAAGTAGGAACCCATCAATTAATTGTTAGCTGCTACTGATATTTAAAGAACACTGATAAATCTTTAAGAAAACCACAAACAACTGAATAGCATTTATCACATTTTCAATTGGACTAGCAACTGTCAGCTCCATCTTCAGACCAGACGGCTAGTCCTTCACTCAGGAGAAGCATCCTGCAGATCTGTGACTTGACTGACGCTCTGCCCACCGGTGGTCCACAGGGAGAACTGTGCGTTCAACACCAACCTCCCAGCAAGACTTCAGGACCTTAGATCCTGAACCACAGCTTGTATGCTTCTATTCTCAGATTCTTTTTGAAAAAGACTGGAGAAGGAACCGAGGTCTGGGGTCTGGCCTTGAGCTCACTAGATCTGTGGCTGAGAACGGGCACTTTACCTCAACCCGCCTCCGCGTGCCCATCCTCGAAGGGAGGGGCCTGGAGGGGAAGAACTCTTAAATACTGTTCATAACAAGGCTGCTTGCTCTCTCACGCCCATGGAATTTACCAGGGGGGTGGGAGGGCTTAAGGACCTTTCTTGGAATCAAATACAGAATCTCTGATGCTTCTAGAATTCGGGGCAAAGATTTAAGCTCTGCTCTTGCCACTGATGACACTCAGAGTGAGGGTCGCCCTGGGACCACACGGTCTCACACTGAAGGGCTTGACATTAATCTCAGCCGTTTCAGAGTTTCACAGGAATTTAATTTGGGCTACATTTTGCCTGTAACTGGATTCCAAGGTAAAAGAACAGAGCAGTTAGCTTGTGTTCATTTAGGAAGCAGAGTTCAGGAGCACCAGTCTATGGTCTGCATTGGGCCTGATGTCTTGGCCATGCCATCTGGCATTTGACTCTTCTAAAGGCCAAAAGGAAGTTTTGGAAAGGACGATTTCAAGGCAAGAGAGGGTAAGAGCGGGAGTGAGTCCTGATCTCTGAAGCACTCTCTGCTCTTTCCATGCCCACCCCAGACCCTGAGACCCATCACCCCCACCCAACTCCAGCCCTGAGACCTTCATTGCCTAAGTCCCCAAACACTTGGTCAATGTCTGGTCTTCTTAACCACATTAGGAAACAACCACCAGGGAAGCCCAGGAAACAAAAATCATTGCAGCAATCATTACCTGGTTTTAGGATAATGATTTCTGCTTTAGGCCCAGGTTTTAAACTCTGATGCAGTCTATGAGTTTCAGGGAGTTGAACATTCACCTTGCCTTACCTGCCTAATGTATTCACCAAGGGGCCGACCATGAGGGAGCCGAGGAGGCCTCCAAAGGGAAACATGGACACAGAAATCGACCACAGCAAGGTCAAGGAGAATTCGTTTATGTATTCACCGATTCTGTCATAGTAGGTCTCGTTATAAAATGCTTTCATGAGCTGGAGAGCAAAGCAAAACAGAACACCAAAATAATGTGAGCTGGTTTTGCAGAAAGAACAGTGTAAGTTGTTGGGCCACCCGATGGGATGAGCTGGGCATGTTGGAACATCAACACGATTAAGTGGAGGAGAGGAATGAAGATTAACAGCAATTAGCAGGGGGCACCCATGCCGGGGCGGGCGGCTGGGAGGCCGGCCTCTGATGGGCAAGCTGCCAGGGATGTTTCTTTTTTTTTTCTTTAAAGAATTTGGTTGGTTCTCTTTATTATTTATTTATTGATTTGGCCATGCCCCGCAGCATGTGGGATCTTAGTTTCCCAACAAGGGATCCAACCCGCGCCCCCTGCAATGGACGCTTGGAGTCTTAACCACTGGACTGCCAGGGAAGTCCCTGCCCAGGATGTTTCTAACCCCAGAGAGGAATGACTCCAGGCTTCCAATCACGGAATCAGTGCTGGATGAGCCTGGTCCCTCCAGACTCTGCTGTGGATTACGAGGCTGCGGAAGATCAGAGTGCCCCCAAACCTACCCCCCACCCCTGGAGGCCAGCCCACCATGTGTCCAGCCAGGCCTGGCTCTCCACAAGAACCTGGTGCGTCCCCAGGACCCCGTGCCTGTGCAAGTCCCTTGGGCTTGCGCTGTTTATTTCATGGGTTTCCCCCACCCTTCACTTGAGGTCCCACTGTGTGCCCTCAGCGTCTGTACAGTCCCACCCTAGTGGCCACCCGGGGAACCGGCTACTCCAAACCCACCTCCCCGTTCCCGGGGGGCTGCGTCTCGCCCACCATAGCGACCTACCTCGGCAGGGGAGTTAATAGCGGCCACGTTGTACCCATACTGGAAGGATGACCCAAAGGCAGCTATCAGCGTCGCCAGGGCAAGCACTGGTGTCAGCCTCTGCAGGAGAGATCACGGCTTTAGGTAAGGAAGCAACCCGGGCTTCCAGGGAGCTCCTGATTTACTCAGAGTCTTGCAGAAAGATGGATGTAATGGGATCTGAAGACCCGTGGTCTTTCAACCACTCCGTGTCTGGAAACCTACCCTCCACGCACCTTGGGTGGAGCAGGTTTCTTTGACCGTAGCACTTAAGCCTGGATAATCCTTTGTTGTGGGAGGCTGTCCTGTGTGCACTGTAGAGACACACCTCACCCCATCTGGGACAACCTAAATGTCTCCAGACATGGCTAAATGTCCCTGGGGGCAGGTGGGGAATCACCCCTGGTTGAGAATCACTGGGTCTCAACAAAACCGAAGGGTCACCCCCTCCAACACACCACCTAATGACTGAGCTGCTCCTGCGACATTCCTGCGCGGGACTGCCTCTGCTGATTGCAGCAAATGCACTCAGGCACTGCTGCAAACACAAACCCCCCAAAAAGTCAGAGAGAAAATGTGAAAATTTTTAATTTTTTAGGGCCACTGATTAACTTCCTTTAGCCTCTGGACTGTTGCTCTAAGAGGCAGAAGGCACGGTGAAAGAAATATTTAAATATAGACTTCTGGGGACTCTTAAACACACACATCCTGTGACGATACCCCCTTTGACACCTGGGTAACTGAACACTCATTTAAGACAATCTTTAATGACACATGGGAATTCATTAGTAAAAGAATGAAAATTGGGAGAAAAATAAAAGTGGAAAGAGCTTTGCTCTTAGAATCTATGGATCTCAGTTTGAATTTGCTCACTGCCACTTTCTGGCTTAATTTCTGTGATCTTCAGTTTCCTCATCTTTAGCGTTAGGATAATAACATCTCTCGGAGTTATTGCAAAGATTCATTATGGAAGCGTCTAGCTGTGGAGGTGAATCCACTGACTGGGGTGGGCCTGGGCTCTCTGAACCCACCATTGACGCCCTTCGTCCTGTACTACAACCGAGGTCCCCATCACATGAGACTCAGCCCCTCTGGTGGCGAGCTGAGGTCCTCATGTCTCCCCTGGGCAGCATCCCCCCGAATCTAAGGGGGAACCTCTTGAGAGAGGCAAGTAGGAGCAGGACAGGCAGAGAAACAGTGGGCACCTGGGCCTCGCCTCATGCCCGGCGGGGACTGCTGAGCTAGTGGCCCCCTCCCCGACCCCACAGAGCAGGTGCAGGACCCGCAGGAGTCCTGGTCAAGAGCAGAACCGCAAGTGAAACTTTGCCCGTCTCGCCTCTTCCACCAAATAATTAACAAATGCTTAATTCACAGGAAGTTTCTGGTAAAGATGATAAGAGCCACAGACAAGGCAGCCTATCAAGGAGCAGCCGGCTCTGGTTTCCAGTCTCTCCTCAGGCCCCACCACCCCCTCGGGCCAGGGGGGCAGCAGGTGACAGAAGTGGGGGGAGCAGGGGATGGTGCCCAGGAGGGGAGGCGGGTTCCAGGGCTGTTGCTACACCGTGTTTTCTAAAGGCAGGGGGTACACAAGTAGGCATACCCACCCCACCCCCAAAACCCCACCCAGGAGGTAGCATGGGGCCAACCATGTTACACTTCACCTTCTGAAGTGCTCTAGGTATTCATTCATTCATTCATTCATTCACACATTGAGCACCCACTGTGAGCCAGCCATGGTTCTAGGTTCTAGCTACTAGGGATATAGTGGAGAAGAAAACAAAGATCCCTGCCCTATAGCTGTCCTATTGCTTGATATGGTGGAAGGGAGGAAGGAAGGAGGGGAGGGAAGGAGGCGAGGAAGGAAAAAAAATGTTGATTAAAATTTCTCCTCTTCTAATTCCCTTCCCAGTAAATGATAAACTATAAATGCACCAGGCTTCATTCATACTGCAGGTGCAACTCCAACATTCTGCTTTGATGGGTCCTAAGGTTTGAAGTCCTTAGCAAAGCTCAGTGGGGGAGCTGGCTGGTGTCCCAGGCCTCATGCCCCAGACTGGGGGGATCCTGCCAGGTACGTGGATAGCCAGCTCTCTGACTGTTTTTATGGGATTCTAGCAAAAATTATCAGAGACCTCACGCTGTACAGTGTCTAAGCCTAGAGCACATAATTCAACTTCTATTCCTTGGCTTCCTCCTTGAATTCAAGCCATAGGCACATTCTAAGGACCCGTAGGAATCAGGGCTCACCCTTTGTGGAAATAGCAAAGACATTCTGGGTAAGTTCTCAAGTTCTTACCGACCTTGCTGGTCCAAATGCCTTCATTCTTATGAAACAAAATTATTTTTAAGGCCGGAAAAGAAAAATTTAGCATAAAATGTTCTCTGCCATTTAAGCTACTATCCCCTCCCCTTTAGTGTGCATTAAGCATATGCATTACACATTAACTAGATCCCCTTAGAAGACACAGGAATGCCTACTCACACAAAAAAAGAAAAGAAAAACAACAACAACAAACAATACCCTCCTGGCACCAGCAAGCTAAATCCTTAGGAGATAACATTCCTTTCCCAATCCTGTAAGGGGTCACAATAACTCACTACTCACCTCGTTAGACTATGTAAACTGTCATATGTTACTTTGATGTATAACACTTCGTCTCAAAAATTATATAACTGTGCTCTGACTTCTAACAGGAAGAACAGTCCTCAGAGCTTTCTTTTTTTTTTTTTTTTTTTGCGGTACGCGGGCCTCTCACTGTTGTGGCCTCTCCCGTTGAGGAGCACAGGCTCCGGACGCTCAGGCGCAGCGGCCATGGCTCACAGGCCCAGCCGCTCCGCGGCATGTGGGATCTTCCCGGACCGGGGCACGAACCCGCGTCCCCTGCATCGGCAGGCGGACTCTCAACCACTGCGCCACCAGGGAAGCCCCCTCAGAGCTTTCTGAAAGACTGGCTGCCAGGTTATAATCCTCAGGTTGGGCCGAATAAATATTTCCTTTCTTTCTTAGATTGACCGTTGATTAATTTTTTTTCATGGACGATGCAATAAACATTGCATTGCATATTTATTGACAGCTGTCTATGATCTGTGTACCATGCTGTAGTCCAGTGAGCAAAACAGCTGCCCTCAAGAAGACTGTGGTCCAATGGGAAAGACAGACATGTTTTTAAAACTTCATAATAATTTAATAATGAAACTAGAACTGGAGTAAGTTTTATGAAGAAAATCCACAGAAGTGGTTAAAGAGGGGAGTCAGGAAAGTGACTGAGAGAGGATGGGGGCCCGGGTAGGGGAGTGGCTGAGGCAGGGGAGCAAGAGGTACCAGCTTTGAGGACTATTTAGGAAGTAAAGTCAAGGGATTCGGTACCCCTTGAGAAAAATGGAAATCAAAACCACAACGTGATACCACTTCTCACTCATTAGGATGGTTAAAACCAACAAGACAGGTAAATGTGTTTACGAGGATGTTGAGAAAATTGGGACCCTCTCACGTTGCTTACGGGATTGTAGAATGGTGCAGCCACTTCGGAAAAGAGGCCGGCAGTTCCTCAAAAAGTTAAACACAGCGTAAACATATGACCCAGCAATTCCACTCCTAGGTATATACCCAAGAGAATGAAAACACATATTCATGCAAACTTGATCACAAATGTTCATAGCAGCATTTTCATCATAACCAAAAAGCGGAAACAACCCAAATGTCTATGAGCTGATGAACTGATAAGCAAAATGTGGGCTATTCATGCAATGGAGTATTATTTGGCCATGAAAAGGAATGAAGCACTGATACTCGCTACAAAGTGGATGAACCTTGAACACAAGCTACGTGAAAGAAGCCAGTCACAGAAGACCACCTGGTTCCATCGATGTGAAATGTCCACAATAGGCAGATCCACAGAGACAGAGATAAATCAGTGATTGCCCAGGGCTGGGGGAGAAGAGGAGGAGATGGGGGGAAATGCGGAGTGACTGTCAGTGGGTAGGGGGTTTCTTTTAGGGGTGATGAAAATGTTCTAAAATCGATTGTGGTGATGGATACACAACTCTGTGAATAGATATTGAATTATATACTTTAAATGGGTGAATTGTATGGTCTGGGAGTTAGAGTCTCAATAAAGTTACTATATAAAAAAGGCATGTAGGAAATTCAGGGCTTAAGCTTTCTTTTTCTTTCTCCTCTTTTCCTTTTCTTTCCTTTCCAAGAGGGGAAAAAAAAGAATTTGGTACCGGGCAGGATTAGGGCATGAGGGAGGATGTCCAGGTCTCCGACCATCTTATTGAAAATGACAAATGGCTCAGTGGCCTCAAGACGTGAGAGGGGACCCTCCTCAGAGGCCAAGGGAAGCCGGGACTATGAACTGTGCTTTTGAGAAAAACTAGGAACCAAATCCCTCATGCCCAAGGTAAACTGGCTTCCTGTTTTTCAAAATGCTGAGAACATTCTGAGACTTCAGTGAAGCAGCCACCTTCAGGGCTAGCCCTCTGACAGGGTGTGATTCAAGCTCTCTGGGAAGAAGGCCCCACCCAAACCATTTCTCTCTTAGGAATTTGTCTCCAGTTTCTCTCTCTACCACCAGAGAGACACTCTCAGTCTCAGACTTTTCTTTGTCAGGCGTCTCCAGTCAGAATGCAAATATGCCTGGAAAAGTGAGTCCCTATGAATTATTAACACTGTAAGTCACTCTATCACACTATGGAATGAACCCAAAGTTTCACAAACATTCCTTGAGGTCCGAGTGACGAGGGGAGAGAGGAGAGACAAACGTCATAACATTTTAGAGCTGGAGGGGCCAGGTGTTGTCGCTGCAGGGGGTTTACAGCGTGGCCACTGCAGCCCAAGAGCAAGGGGTTGCATCCTGCCTCTCCTGCTGCTGGCTGTGTGGCCTAGGGCCGGCTACTAAACCTCTCTGTGTCTTGGCTCCTTCATCTGTACAATGGGGACAATGATACTGCCTTCCTCACAGGACTGATATGGGGAATAAGTGAGTTCATATATGTGAAACAGGCCCGCAGCTGGCTCGTGGTGGTACACGCTCCAAGCATTACACACTATATCACGGTTTGCTATCAATATTAATGAT